TATTTTTTTTTGCCCTTTTTTTTTCTAAATGTGAATATAAATTTCCCACTATATCCCCTCACAAATGCCCATTCCTCCCTCGCTTCCTCCCTGCTGCACGGGAACAGGGAGATCTCAGAAGCTGGGCTGAACCCCCTGGTGAGGTCGTGTCATCGCCTGCAGCACATGTGCTTCTCTGGCTTCCGCACCACCCACCTCTCCGACCTCCTCCTTCACACCATTGCATCGCACTGCCCGCTGCTCACCACTCTCACTCTCCGCGCCTGTAGCGGGGTAACCACACAGGGTGTCACGCATGTGTTACATGGCTGCGAGCAAATTGCAAGGTGCCACCTGGCACGGTGTCCGAATGTGGATGAGAGGGTGGTTAGGGTGGCGAGGGAGGTTGGGGAGGTTAGGGCGAAAAGAACAGGATGGAGTCGACGTTTTGTCGGAATGCCCACGATTGAGGTATCATGATGAGTCACATGGCAAGCATTATGTGGTGTCTTCGTGAAGTGATAGTCAATGATACACGGTAAAATTATTGCAGTAGTGTGCCCAACTAATTCCGCCACAACCGTTTCAGCCATCTGACTATTATAGTGAGGTTTCGCTTTGCGATCCCTCCAGCCAGCCAGCCAGCCCCTTCAATTCCGAAATTGTCGTCCCCCCACCACACTTCTGCCCCTTCGCCTTTCCCCCAACGTTCGCTTCCAACAGCGCCCCCTGCGCTCATCTCATTCCCATCTCAACGAAGCTCGCCTCTTCATGCCCTATCACCGCACCGCAACGCGCCGCACTCCTCTTTTGCTTCCCCTCGACCCCACACTCCTCGTTCCCCATTGCTTTCTGCTTCCCCCAGTCTGCTCAAGTTCCTCCAGCACAACCCTTGGTTTCCTGCGCCCTCGTGCCTCGTATGCGATGATGGCCACTGAGTTGGTGTCGCTAGGGTGCGAATAATCAGCGTAGTTGTGAATTTGGTCGCCTAGCTTTCCCTGTTACGGCACTGGTTTAGGTATCTTCTTTCTGTACTTGGGTGACAACCTGGTCCTGCATTCCAGAGGTGTAAAGATTTCATAAAGGCCGTCCCTTTCTATCCATTCAAGCGCATTGTCACCCCCTCGGGTCCTTATTATTTATCGCTGCCATTTCCGCGGCTTCTTGCTTGTCAAGTCGAAATACTTCCTCCTTCGGTTCAAGCTTCTCGAGCGCATCGTCAGAATGTCGTCCGCACCATTCTACGCCGTCCCCGTTAACAGTGCAGAATCCGATGGAATCTTTTCAGGAGGTCCGTCCTCCCTCTCCGCGCCGCTCGAGATCCGGCCAACCCTGATGCAGCGATTCAAGGCCATTGACTGGTTGGATTGGTTTTCCGCCATCGGCATGCTCTTCCTCATGTACGGACTTTTCCTAAGTTACTTCTACGGCTTGCTAGCAGCCGCTGAAGCCATACGAGGAGAGAACTTTCGAGTCCTCCCACAAAAGTACTATGGAGCGTTCCAGTATGGCACGGACATTCCGCAAGGGTATTCCACGTATCCAGTGGGATTTCCTGTTCCTTGGAATGCCACGCTGTTTTAGGAGTGCCAGACAGACAGCCTTCCTTTCTTGCCGTCGCTGGCGCTGCAGGCTTCTCTTATTAATGTTTTTTTCTGTTGTACTGTAATAATGTATGTTGGAATAACCGAAATTGTGCTGGAAATTTCGAAATCTGGGTAAGAGTTCTTTGAGCCATGACGACGCCCCCTTCCTCGATCTCAGATGTAGTTCTTGTACACGTCCTAACTCCCCAAGCAAACTGAGTTGAGACATGCACTATGTAATTGAATATACGGTAGTTGCTGAGTACATGTCCTACAGTACGTCCTGAGACTTACAACAATGAGAGAAAGGCAATCTACGCCAAGAACCTACATGTACATGACAGACAGCCATCACCACCACATTCCACGTGGCAGCTCAACAAAAATGATGACAAAAACGTCCCCTGAATGTTGCCGCAAACTCCTGCCCTTCCAACTTGAGCCCTCACCAGCACAGCGGATCATTCTCTGTCCTCCTTAGTCAGACCCCAGAGAAAGACTCCCAGCAAGACCTGCATACTGGGGATGCTCAATCGAGCTCTGTGTCATTCAAAGAACCCTGTTTTGCGAAGAACCTCCGCCCGGACGTGAGCCAAGTCCCTCCCGCGAAGAGCCCGGCCAACCCCCTCCGTCACCGAGAAATTCACACTCTGAGCGTACTGCCTCGCCACAATTTCGTGCGGAGGAATAACCTCATCCTCCTCCTGCTGCTCCTCCCCTCTCAACCCCATTCTGCTTGGTCCTGCAGCAGCGAGTTGTCGCGGAGCGGAAGACTTCCCCCAACAAGGAATATGTATGGGAGCGGATGCTCTTGTCATTGGTCGGATTGCGTTATGAGGACTTGGTACCGGTTTCGGGATAAGAACGGATGAAGTCGGTAGAGCGCCTGAAGAACCTTTGATAATATCCCCCCCTATGTTAGGGACCCTGATGCTATCACCGGAGTTGGGCTCCACGAGCGTGGGAACAAGAGACAGGCCAAGTGGTTTGCTTGACGAGCCGTCACGTGAGCTTAAGATCGCGGATACGGCATCTGTAGGACCCCGCGTGACGGTTCTACCAGAAAGGGGAACGAGAGGTTCCCTTGTAGAGGGAGCGAAGCTTCGACCGATGGATTCAACGGTCAGTGGACGTGCGGCGTCAGCCTGGGTGGTTCGAACTGCTGGCGAGTTGTCAACATCGCCAGGAAACCAGACGTCCTCCTCCGTCAGATCATCCACGTCATCACGGTCCTCTATGGAGGTCGGAACGGAAGATCCGAGCAGATCAATACCGTGTGCGCCTCCGAGGCAAAGCGGTGGCTCTGCTGCTGACGTCATCGCTGACGCGGAGCCGTGAGAAAAAGAGGGGGTTGACGTGAACATAGAAGAACGAACTAGGCTAACAGTTGGAAGAACTCCAGCGAGACGTTGAACGGGCTTAAATCGGCAAAGCTAGGGTTGAATATTGAAAATCCGACACCAGCGCCCTGCGCGGCTCAGCCTACCTAGTTCAAGGCTGAAAGCCCAAGACGAAAAAAGACTCCTATCCTGCAGTTCTGGAACAAGATCATCAAAATCTTGCTCTGGAGCTCTTTGTGGATGAGCAGGGTAAGTTGAGTTTGCTGCTCCTGACTGTGGCGGTCGGAGCTGATGGCTAGAAAGCGGGGAGACTAGAGGGTTCTCGGCAGAACTCTGGAAGTTTCCGGATCCACGAGACCCGCGAGAGGGAGCTTGGGAGGCATGGAATTTTACACGCTTTCGTTCTAGGGTGTCCCTGCTTGCGCCCTCCAACTTGGCAATAACTGCGGGGAAGTGTACAGTGATGGGACACGAATGGTTGCGAGTGACGACGAGTCACAGAATTTCTGTTGGGTCTTGGCTTGGATGTGAGAAGTCTGGGTACAAATGGCATGAAAAAGACTTTTGTGGTGCGAAAAGTCGGTTCGAACGCGCGTGTACAGACTCACACCCGCACTTGTATCTGATGCGGAAACTCTCGTCTGATGGAGCGGCAGCGACAAGATCGAGCGAATCCACGGCCAAGGTGGGTGCCAACTATACTGAACTGCAACCAATCAAAGCAGCAGGAGGGGCCGGAACAAGCACGACAAGTCTCGCTATTATCAGACTCTTGACACTCTTGTAACAGCTTAATTTGGTTGACACATGTATGAGTACAGTCAGCCACACTGCAAAAGAGAAGTGCGAGACTCGGACATGTCAGCTGGTCATGTGGCCTTGCTGGCGAGCTTTCCTGATTGGCTCGACTAGCTTTGGAGTTGCCCTTTTGTCAGTTCCTAGGAATGATCATCCACCATCTCCATCCTCATACTTTATCCCATTTCCACTTGCTTGTTATCACCTCCTTTAGTGTCACGATTTGTTCTGCTCCTCAGACTGTTCCTGCTTCACCACAGCCTGAATTTTATATCCCCAGCAAGCACAGTCCGAATCACAAGTTTAGGTGCGTTTAGGTCCGAATCACGAGATTTTGAATTCACAGACCGCGTACTTTTAGAGATATAATGGTAGTGACAGACTTGGGACAGCGAACCGCAAGAATATAACGTAAATACGGTTGCTAGTGTCCGGAAGTACTCCCTGTGACCTGTACAATATGGGTTGGACGGACGCGGTCAGTGACAGGATGGCTCGACTACTCTCGACGGCTAGCCGGCGAGGCAAATGTGAATCTTCGCCGGAAGAGGTTCAACGGGGAGGATTTCCCGCAAAGGTCAGTGTCGACGTCATCATTGTCACTGGAAAAGTTTTCATGATTTATTTTCAGTGGCTATTACACGTTAATGAACAGTTTCGTCCAGTCGACATTGAAGGACAGCTTGCAGCTTGCTGATTGCTAATGCTACAATTCGCTCCTGGACCTATTTCCTGTTATAGGTGGGCCTACTGAGCCAACTTGGATTTACCTTTATTTCTCCCATCGCCTGTTTCCGTTCTTCTCCTCCCCATCTCCTGTTTCTCACTTCTCGTCCTCTATTCCAGGTACGTCAATCCGAACCTGTAATGTACGACGAGTCCGTGGACAATGCCAGCAGCTTCGCAGCAACTTCCTTCAGTACCACCACAACCTCCACCACCATGAGACGAGGCGCAGCCAGTGGGTCAACCGTCAAGACAGGCACGAGCGCAAACACCGGCACCACCCTAAACACCACCAGCACCACGAACACTACCACTTCCGCTTCCACGATTAATACCAGTGCCATAGATAGTACCGCCAGTCGCTCTGGCGCGGCCTTTGAATCCGATTCTGGCGTTTCGGCCTCCACACGTGCAGTCTTAGATCCTGACGACGTCCCACGTGGAGCAACAGGAGCCGTCGGATTTGACCCAGGAAGCAGTTCAGGCACGGGAGTACCAGCAGGGTTAGGCGAAGGCTCGGGTTTAGGAACGCCTGGGAGACGAACCCCTGTGAAACCTGCAGCGTTTGAAGGCCTAGCGGGGAGCTACGGTGACGATTCTGCGCAGATCGCTGCAGCGACAGCAGCAGCAGTGGCAGCTGCTGCTGAGTCGGGGTTGGGTGGAGTGGTAGGAAGAAAGCCTCCCCGCGTGCCGTCGACGCTAGGCGTGGATGAGGAGTTTGAAGGGCCGGATACGTCTTCCCTAGCCGCGTTTCTCCTGTCGCTGATTAGTATCAACCCGCGCGGGAACAAGGCGAGCTCTGACACGTGTTCCGAGTCTGGCGGGTCATACGCGGACTCGGATTTCGAGGAGGAGGACTACGAGGAGGTTGGGGAGGAAGATACTGGGGTGGTGGAGGTGATGGGAAGGGAGGAGTGGTACCGAGCGGTTTGGGTGCAGCAGGACAGGATGGGAGGGTGAGGAGAAGGGGACGGGGTGGGGTAGGAGGGGAGTTGGGTGGGGAGGAGGGCGGGGAGGGACAGGAGGAGGGTCTGAGGAAATGGGATACTGGGGAGAGTGGGAGAGTGAGAGGGGGTGGTGCTGGTGGGGGTGGGAATGGCGGAGGGAGTGGGGGAGGGGCAAAGCGGGGCTGGTTACCCCCGTTTATATCACGTTTTGCGGCTGGAGCAAGGGGGGCTCGATCTCGGGAATCCTCGCCGTCAGTCACCCCGTCCTCTTCCTCCTCGTCGCTCTCGGCTGATGCTGGATGCGGTGACGTGGCGCTGACGTCAGCGTCCAGGCTGGAGGCGCGAGAGAACAACAACGGGGCGAATCAAGGGGGCCTGGCGACGTCAGCAACCGCTGCTGTGTCGTCATCATCATCAGTAACGCTCGTGTCAGCAGCAGGCGCAGTTTCAGGAGCAGTGTCAGTATCAGCAGCAGTATCCGGAGCAAGTCTCTCCGGAGCGAGTTTAGCCGGAGCAGACGAGCAGCTTCAGCAGAGGATGTCCGAACCTGTCACGTCAGCCAGTTGCTCCCAAGCCCTCACCTCCCGAGCCTCCGAGCCTGCGAGGGAAACCACTGGAAGAGAGGGAATCTGCTCTCCCACCAATCCTGCTGGTGGGAGAGGGGGGATCGTATCTCCCAATGCCGGGGGCGGAAGGGGGGGGATATTATCTCCGAATTCCTTGGAAGCTTCGCCCTTGATGAGCCCCAGGCTGCCAGATATGATGGAGGAGTCGTTCCTGCTGTCCGACACGTGTCGCTCCGTGATTTGCCAGAGCCTGCCTGCGATTGCCAGTGGACGCGAGTGGGTTCTCCTGTACAGGTGAGCTGAAGAAGCACAAATGCGCACGAATGGAAGTAGGGGTTTCAGGACGAACCTGAAAAGAAGGATGTATACTGCTGCGCCCCCTCCTCTCCTCCTGTCCCTATTTCCCCTTCCCCTCCCACCTTCCCCACCCCTTCCCCACCGCTTCCCCACTCCCTCCTCCCTCCGCTTTTGCTCTTTTTTGCTTCACGTCCCCTCCTGGGCTTCGGTTTCTCATCACGTCAACATAATTGCTCTCAGCAGCTTTGAATATCTTCCTTTGTAGTTGTGCTAAACCATCCCCGCTTGCCCCATCCCCGCTGCCGCATCCCCGCCACCGCATCCCCGCCGCCCCATCCCCGCCGCCCCATCCCCGCCGCCCTATCCCCGTCTGCCCCATCCACGCCTGCCCCATCCCCCGCCTGCCTCATCCCGTCACCACGTTTTTCTCATTCTTCACCCGCTCTTGTCGCCCCTATCCCTCTTCCCCCCTCCTCCCCATCCACCCATACCACACCACCACTCCCCACCCCGTTTTATCTCTCACCACCCCAGCACATTCAAGCACGGCATCTCTCTATCAACCCTTTACCGCCGCAGCTCCATGATGCCAGGCCCCTGCCTGCTGGTAAGGCTTCTGTCTGCTGGTGAGCCCCTCTCGATGCTCGTTTTGATTTTCATCCATCCATCCATCCACGGCATTTCTTTATCGACTCTCTGCCGCCACAGCTCCATGATGCCAGCTCCCTGCCTGCTGGTGAGGACTCATTCATTCATAGATTAGAGCTTCAAAAGTTGGCCCTTGGAATATCCACCGCTTATCCCTCCGACTGTGTTTTACATTCGTTCCCTTACCATCCATGCCATGTACCCTGTCTTTTCCTGGTGATCACAAGAAGCACGACGGTTAAAGCACTGAAATCACACGCGCCCTATGTTCGGCTCTCAAACCCCTCTATGCATCTGTGCCCAACTCCCTCACAACTTTTCCCCTTTCCTCATCTACACCCCCCCTCCTCCCGCTTCCGGGTGACTTTTGAGTCGACTCAAAAGTCCCTTTATTTGCCCCCCAAACCCCTCTATGCATCTGTTCCCAAACCCCTCACCACTTTTCCTTTTCCCCTTTCCTCCTCTATGACCCCCCTCTTCCTGCGTCCAAACTCCTCTCCCACTTCCTCCCCCCACCTCTTCGCCAGGTGGTGACTGAGGATAACGGCACCGTTTTTGGCGGCTTCTCATCTCAAGCGCTTGTAGCCTCCAATCGCAGAAAGTACCAGGTGCGTATTCCAATATGCTCTTCGCTCACAATTTAGCTGTTCACATCGCATATCATCCCTTTCTGCTGTTTCTGGTTGTACGAGCGCGTGTCCAGGAGCAGCGCAACAGTTGAACCCCGTCGGTAGCAGAGTCACCCCTACTTCCGTTATTCGTTCTCTTGATAAATGCTCCGCTCGACGGGGGTTCAGTTGCTGTGAAGCTTTAAGGGGCGACTCTGCTTAACGTCATTCTCTTGATTAATGCTTCACCGGAAATTCAAATCGAAGCCTTCATGTTTCAAACTTCCGGTGTTGCTTCCATCCCCGGCTGTCCTCTGCCTGTGCTGTGGCAGGGATCCAGTGACGTCTTTGTGTTCACCACCACTGCAGGGGAGCCCACGGTCTACAAGGTCACAGGTAACAAGTGGGGAGGGTGGAAGAATTTCTATTTTCAGTTTTTTTTTGCCAATATTGCTTTCAATTTTGTTTTGTGTTTACCATCATCACGGGCAGCGCAATATTGATTCCTGATTACACTTTTGCTTGGTTTCCTTCTCTCGCACACACCTGTCAGCGGCGAACCGTTACTTCATCCTGTGTCTGAATGAAGCCCTCTCTTTTGGAGGTGGCGGCCACTTCGCCCTGTGCCTGCAGGAGGACCTGTGAGTCACCTCTTAAAGAATCACCATTTTTCCCCAATAGACTGCATGCACCGCTGTACCCCTGTTGGTCTTGACCTTAAATTGAATCAATGGAAACAAACCAACCTGTTGAAAGTGCTAGTCCTCTTCACCAACCTGTTGTGCTTACTATCGCTTTTGTTAAGCCTGGTCTGAGAGGCTCCAAAAATGCCTGTGTGACCTTCTGCAGTCTTTGTCTCTCCACATCCGAACTTTTTTGCCCCGCCATGCAGTTCTAGTTCCTTCAATCGCTTTCCTTTCCCCCCTCTTTCCCCCCAGCCTGACAGGCTCCAGCGGTGCGTGTGAGACATTATGCAGTCCTTTTCTCCAAATCCAAAGACTTCATGCCCTGACATTCTATTTTCATTCCGTCATTCTCGTTCTTTCTTGTCCCCCGCACACCGCTCTTCTCCCCCTCCCCCCCCCCCTTTCCCCCCAGTCTGACACGCCCAGCGGCGCGTGTGAGACATTCTGCAGTCCATGCCTCTCCATGTCCGAGGACGTAAGTTTTCATTCCTTCATTTTCTTCTGTTCCCCATTGTTGCCCCCATACCTTCAGTCTGACAGGCTCAAGCGGTGCGTGTGAGACATTCTGCAGTCCCTGCCTCTCTAAGTCCGAGGACTTCAAGATCAAGCATGTGGAGGTGAGGCAAGGGGAGCATGTGGAATTGAGGAGTGCACGAGAGGGTGAGCATGTGGAGGTGAGGGTGGGAGAGCATGTGGAGGTGAGGGTGAGGAGGTGAGGTGAGAGAACACGTGAAGGTGAGATCAGCATGTGAGGTTGTCGTTGATTTCTGAGGCGCTGCAAGAGTGATGCGAGCATGTGAGGTGAGGTGGCATGCAGCATGTGAGGTGAGGTGGCATGCAGCATCTGAGGTCAGAACAACCATGTGTAACAATTTTTTAGACACGAAGATAAGGAGCCAATGGAGAGTTACAGGTCAGAGTTAAGGGGGAGGAGTACATTCCACAACCTTGATTTCCATTTTGCCATAGTACATGTCGACTCCAGCACCTTCCTTCTGCACCTCGCCATTTGCGTTCCTGTTCCCCTTTCCAGCTGTGGGGGTTCGCTCACCAGTCTCGATATGCACCAACCAAGGCCAACTGGCATGAACCGTCACAGCCACAAGGTTTCCATGCCAACTGGTAACTGTGCTGATGTGGAACGAATGCTGTTAGCCAGGCGAATTTGCACACGTCGTCTCTTCTTGTTGATGCCTATCACAGTGTTTGCCTGTTTTCTTCCCTCTTGTTGTGGTGTAGTGGTTGTCTAATTAATGTATATTCTAACGCTCACATTTACAGTCTTACAGCCTACAATGAGGCCATCACAAACTGCTATACAATACCATAAATGACAGATGTGGAATCTAAATTGTTATGAATGAACTTGCAGAGTGCGCAGAATATCGAATAACGAGAATGGAAATTACAGAGTGAAGAAACAATGAAGTAGCGAGGCCTAAATAGGGGAAAAGCTAGCTAGGCGGGGGGTTCGGGATGGGATGGCTCGGTGATGGTTGCGATTGGAGCGGAGGCCGATCGGGGGTGGTTCGGTGCGACGAAATAGGCCCAGCAGGTTCGTCGCGTGACCCTCGGGATGGCCTCGATAACGAGTGCCTCAGTAAGGATTTGTAAATCCTTACATAAATACAGCTCGTTCATTGAAATACACCTCAGAAGTCTTCTTGCAAACAACACAATACATCTTCCATTGGTTAGCACTTCAGCGAACAAATTATCAGCTTTTCCATCCACTACGCAATCATTTCCACCTTTGGGTTGCTGACGTGCCTCTCAGAACCATCCTATCGCCTGCATGCCTGAATGCTAAGTGCAGAGCTAGTCTCAGCATGCTCTGAATGAGACCAGCGAGTCTCTCATGATGCGCCTGAATCATTGTTCTCTCGGATATTCTCTAGGTTCCTCTCAGGAGCAGCGTCCTGAGAGGTCATGGAAAAACAGATTTGTTCTGAGAGCGACCCGCAACCGCCATGCTGGAGAGCTTACCACCACGGCCGGGACTCTTGAAAAGCGACACCTCATCGCAAGGGTTTGCTTCTTCCGCGTGTGTGCTCTGTTATCCAGACAGCTAACTCTGTCGCGACGCTGGGTCGGAACGACGAACCTCCTGCCTGGTCAGGCTGGCTCTACTTGACTTTTAGCTGCTGTGGTCAGTATGAGAGGGTTTCTTTCTGCTTCACCTCGTCCTCCTCGACAACGATATTTCTGCGTTTCATTTCCGCGGAAAGGAAGCAGCGATGACGCATCGCGATCCGTTTTGAGAGGCTGTACCTTTTTATATTCAAAGGTGCTGGGACCTGTATATCGCGACCATGAACATGCTTATAGGATTCCGGCAATCCCAGGTCCTCTCATCAGCCTCACGTGGCGCGAGCATGAGGGATACGAGGGGTAGCGGAGGCGAGATCACAACTCCAGCAACTGAAGGAGAGGTTCAGCCATGCTCTAGTGAAAGAAGCCATGGTGGTTCCAGCCTTATCCAGTCCGATCGTGAAAGCGAGAGCCGGAATGAACCGATGCGTCTCTCCGAGGTCGGCTCCCAGAGTGGGTTGCATTCACGTGCTGCGTCGTCTTCCTATCCAAACAGTCAGATTGGACTGGCAGCAGCAGTCAGTGGAGGAGGAGGACGGAGGTCATTCGGTCGTGGTTGTGGCAGTCGTGCTCATGCTGCTACGCGAGGCTCTTCTGGAGAGCATCTCTTGTTCAGGGTAAGCACTTGTTGATTTACTTGTTCGATTGCGCGGTCTCTTTTTTGTATGCAGCTATTAACTTCTGTGTTGTTTTTATGAGCAGAAATGTGTCCAGCTGAATCAAGAGAGGGCTGCTATGGCTGCCGCTTTTGCTGCTGAAGAGTCATTGAAGCAGGAAGAGTCTACTTATTGTGCTGATGGAAACCCGAACAGTTTCATTATTAAGTCACTTCACGACATGGGTGTTGGCTTGAGCCCAACAGCGGAATCTGAGATGGAAGGTGTTGATTTTGAAGACAGTGAGAGTGAGTATTTGTAGCTTTAGTACAGCGCTTTTACAAGACGGAGCAAGCTTTTCCGTTCTTTCTTTCTTTCCCTTCAGTACATATTTGACCATTCTGCTCACTTTTATGCAGGTGAACCTGACAAATTTAGAGCGAATATTCAACTTCAAGAAGTCCAGAACTTTCAGGACGGTCATGACTTTCCTGTTCCTGCTTCTCAGAGGCCATGTGACACAGCGCTTGAGCCGTCAGATCTGGAAATTCGTGATGTAGGCACACCTTCCTCTCGCACTGCTGATTTGGCAAGTCCGGGTGGAATCTTATCTCAGAGCAACGGTTCTGTTTCACTGCCAACCACGCCTCAAGTGTGGACACCCCTGTACCAGAATGGATCAGGGAGGTCATTTACTGGCTCTCCAGGATTTTCAGGTCCAACCACATCTGAGCTTTTGGCTGCAACATCCAGCTTGAGAGCTCGAAGAGCAGCTCTTTTGGCATTGCCATCTCTCCAGATTCCGAGCTTTCTTGCCTCCCCAGGTATGTGTCAAAACCTTTTCGTGGATCTTTTCGTGGATCTTTTATTCCTGTGCATTCAATAGTGCTGAACACAATTTGCGGTGGTTGATTTTGTGCAGGGCCTATTGAATCATTTTCTGCCGTTCGTGGATTTTCTGGGAGCATCCTCCCAGGAAGTTCCATCCCGCCAGTTCAAGCTCCTCTGGGACAGCTCAGTTCCTTCAACTCTCAAACCAACCAGCCACGCTCCGCACCTCTGTTACCATCTGTTGATTCAGACCCAACTTATTTGGCTGCTTCAACGATTGATCGAACTCCAGGATGGCAGAAGCCATGGTTAGGAGAAGGCCTGGCATCTGACATCCCATCTCCCAGCCTGGCTGTACTTGGGGGTTCTGCCACTCCTAGGCAGGAAGTTGTACCAGCTGGTAGGCTTCATGACTTTTTGAAGGTGGAAAACTGGGGAGCTTTGCGAGCAGTGCCAGCCTCAGCTTTTTCCGGGTTCATGTCAGGTCCTTCATCTCCTGCTCCTCCAACTGCTACTGTGCTGGCCCGCTCTCTCTCCAGTGCAGCACTTCTTGATTCAGTTGCTTCTCCTTCAATCACTGCTACTGCTGCTGCAGAAGCTGCAGTAGCTGCTGCGGCAGATGCTGCTGCCAGCGCTGCTAGTCCAACCAATCCGCTGTACAAGACCGAGCTGTGCCGGTCTTGGGAAGAGACGGGTGCCTGTCGTTATGGAGGGAAGTGCCAGTTTGCACATGGAAGAGAAGAGCTACGAGCCGTTGCACGCCATCCCAAGTACAAGACTGAGGTAAGCCATCTCCTTCGTTATTCTGGGTTACTGCCGGCGTTTGAGAGTGGCTGGTCATGCATTCCTGGTTTCCCCCCTTGCAGGTTTGTAGAACATTCAACTTGAATGGAACGTGTCCATATGGCACGCGATGCCGTTTCATTCATTACACCTCAGCTTCCACGTCAGCGGCGAGTTCTCCAGCTGTTGGAGCTTCTCCTAGTCAGCTCAACACGACCAGCTCTCGCATTTCTGGATCTGTTGGCCTCGTGCCATCTCCGTTGAAGTCTCAGCTTTCTCTTCCCGCTGCCAGGAGCACGGCATCTTCTGTGGGAAGTGCATTTTCCACCCCTCTTGGCAGCCCTCGCCGGTTGCCAGTTTTTGAAACCATTTGTAGGGAGTCAGGCTTAGAGCCGTCCACTCAGTGCAACTCAAAAAGTCGTTATGGTGGGTGAGTGCCTAGCACACAGTTGTGCAACTTGGATAGCTGTTATGGTGGGTGGTTGTCAGGGTCGAATTTATGGAGCAAAGCAATGTGAAACGCTGTGTTCATTGGCTTTCTCGTGTATTTCATTCATTATATTTTTATGCCACTATATCAGTTTCCCCTGCGACAGGTCATACGTACGTCTTTATACAGTACATTACTACAAATACAGGCAATTTACATCCGCACGAAGCACGCCATGCTAGTGTTCACAAAGTGAGAAAGGCCGCTCGAACAGTTCCTCATTTGCCCTCCTCACCAGTGCTTTCCTTTCCTCCATCAACTCTTCCCTGTACTCCTTCGCCTCTTCCAAACTCATTCCAACTGCGGATGGACCTGTAATCAGCCTGTCTGCAACCATATCAAGTGCAAGACAAGGCAGGCTCCGACATGGGTTCCCTTTCCTGTCCAGCTCCTTGCGCCTCCATGCCAGCTGCTGAGGAGGCACACTTGCTATTGACACGACTCGTGTCTTTGGGTCCACAAGAAAAAACACAAGGATCTTGCGATGCCCAGGCCTGGACTTGTCGGCGAGCTCAAACGGAGCTACACAGTGATGGTAGTGGTTCGGAAAGGCCAGGCACAGGCCGGGCGTGGATGTTTGGACTGAGCCTAGGGGCTGGACGAGTGGGCCTTCATCCACGAGCCCGTAGATCATTTTGAGCCCCTTTCGGTCGTCTTGCTCGTAGTCTGGCTCTCTGATCGTGTGTCGGAACCGCAAGCGCGACTCTGAGATGTTCTCAATGTCGTAGTAATAGATGCCAGTGGCCTGTGAGGGTAGGGGGTTGTTCATGAGATTTGGCAACATGGAGTGAAGATTCGCAGAACCATGGAAAGGGAAAAGCTAGCAGGTGTTGGTGAAAGCAGGCACTGACTCACCACAATGCTTTCGTTTCTCATGCCCTCCACATGCCACGTGCCTCCAGGATACTTGGGCTGGTCCGGGGTAAGACAGATAGAAGCAATCTTCACTATCACCTGTAAACGCCTGTCCTGCAGCTTCACCACCCGTCCCTTGGGTGGTTCTGGGGGAGGTGAGAAGTCTGGAACTTCTGGCTGCATTGGCTCCCGGTCTTCTATATATGCCTCGTTGTCGTCGTCATCACTTAAGTCATATTCTCGATCGCCCCTCCAGCCTTCATACCAGCTGCAGTAGGTCAGGGGAGAAAGGAGTGAGCACATGCGTTGTTAGGCAGTTGGGTCCTAAAAAGCTTTGGCTCTGAGCACATGTGTTGTATGTTTCCTTCATCAAACCCACACAGTTGACACTATGAAATGGCAATATCAAACGAGGAAAGAAGACGGAAACATACAAGCACGTTTAAAATGAGGCAATACCTGTACGGGTCAGCAGTGATCCGCAATGGTCGTGGGTTGGCAGACTCTGTCAGCACCTGATTGAACAGTGGCACGAATGCAAGGGCGAATATATTCTCCAGGCTTCGATACGTCTCTGCAAACTCAAGCGGATGCAGATTGTTGATGTACGACCGGAACTTTGCACTCTGCCCGTCCGCAGAAACATCAATCTCTGCCGGCAGCCATTGAAATGTATCTGAAAAAAACTCGTCTTCCACCCTCCTCCCCCGAGCCTGACTTCCCTCCTCCTGATCCGTTGCCAAACCTGCAAGTTCACCAGCGTCGGCAACCGAGCCTAACTCACTGACCATCTGGTCCCACGGCAGGATATCCAGGGTGGTGTAGTCAGGCTCGGTAATGACTCTGGTACGGCCGTACACCAGGCAGTGGAGTGACGGATGGACCAAGTCAATGACCTGCTTGTTCGACCCTGGATGGTAGTCAATCTGATCCTCAGGAACAGACTCCAGGCGACGCATGCCTTCCAGAAAAGGCTGGAGAATGTCAGGCGGAAAGGAGGCTGACGGAATGAGGTAAACGCCGTCTACTGCACTTGGCAGGACTTCAGGCATGACTGGCATGCCTGGTGTGACTGGCATGGCCGGAGAGGAGGCGTGGTGAGTGGTGGCCTGCCAGCGAAGCTCCTTGATGGCGTAGTCGACTAGATCAGGGTCCACCTGGTGGGAGAGGAACCAAGGGAATGCATGCGGAAAGGATTCAGCAAGGTAAGCAAGTCACAAAATTCGATATAATCAGCATTATCGTGAGAAAAATGGCATTAGATGGGTGGGAGGGAAGGAGGGTGGAAGGGAGGTGTTGATGGAGAGGGGGGGGAGAGGAGCACATGCGATAGCAAGACATTTCACCTTGACAATCCTCTTGCCGTTGTCTCTCAAGAATGAAACCACGCTGGCAGGATCATCAAGCGACACGTCTCTTTCTTCCCTCACGAAATACGCTTTCGCCGGTCGGACGGGGTTCGTCAGCTCCTCCTTCCACTTCGCTACAATCACATCGTCCATGACCTTCCTCATCCAATCAGTTTTTTCTCGAATGCTTCCCATGACGTGGCATAACAACTGCTCCTTGAGGGTCTTCACTTCGAAACCCAAAGAATAGTCTCCCGCGTTGTCAAACGGATTAAGAAAATCAGGAAGGTCCTCATTGCTAAGCATGGTGACGAATCCCCGTAAAAATACAAGAAAATATACAGATATTGTTCTAGGGGAGGACCTACGATAAACGAAAGGAAATGCTGAAGATTGGTGGACGACACAGCAGAAGAAATAGTCCACCAGCTCAAGAAATGCTGGAGACTTCTCGAGCCAGCGTCTCACAGATATGGAGTTTCATGGATGTCTGTGAAAAGGTGCGAGCCTAAAGCTTGGCGGGAAATTTCTGGAGCGAAGTTATGGCTCCAACGATACAAGCTTCACCCTGAAGCCCAAACCCGGCTAGTAGAACTAACCCAATTGAACCCAGATGAAACCAGCTCAAACCATCTGAACCAAAACGAACTCAGCTGGACTCAAACCAGCAAGTGCAGGACCTGCTGACTTTTCGAACTCCACCCGAAACAGCTCGCCCAAAATCGTCGGGTCCGGGAGGACTTGGAATCAGGATTCCTGACCAATCCCGCTGAGCCTTGGGAACTGCGATTGGCGACCGGCTGACGAGCGGGTCCTGATTGGCTAGGACGAATCGCTGTAACCGGGCTTTCCTGGCAATGCGAGAGTGTTGTCACGGACCAAACATCGCTCAATATCCTTGGGCATGCTACGTTGACTCCAGGAGTGCCTGACGAACGTTTGCGAGGTGCAGCAGATTGACGAAAGAGGTTGCTGGTCGCAGAGGAAACCTTGTGCCTCGGCTTGCTTTTGCGACGAAGAGGCTCGCCAAGGAGCTTTCGCAACAATATTCGTTAGGCTGTGATTCGCTGTTTAGGGTCAGTGGCAAGCGAACTCAGCGTTACACGTTTGCGGATGTTGAATCAAGGAACTGAAACACGAATTTGCTAGTATAGGAGCCTTGTCGTGCGCGAATCTTTGTTAGGTCTGCTGCTTCCATTTAGCGTGACTGCGGCTGTGCATTTTCCAGGAAAAAGCGCAGTTACCGAGCCGTCTCCTCGATTTTCTGACCTGCTAGCAGACCCATTTCAGTCGGCTCGTCTTTAAAGACCCATCCGCATCGCTGGTTCCCTTCGTGTCATCCTCGTCTCCGCTACACGCACATCCGGTACCATTCATAGTCGGCCAAGATGGGTAAAAAGCAGCAACGGAGTGGACTTCCGAGTGGGGGGGAGCCAAGGCAAAAGACACCCGCACGCCCTTCCGCCGCCTCCCCTTCTACTGCTGTGCGTACGTGACTGACCCTTCCGCTCCCGCTTCCGCTTCCGGTTCCCCGTGCTTTCTCCGTATCTTCCCCCTTCCTCTTCCGCTTCCCCTTCCCCTCCCCCGTCGCCTTCCCCTTCACCTTTCCTCCGCCGCCTCCCCTTCTACTGCTGTGCGTACGTGACTGACCCTTCCGGTTCTACTTCCCCGTCCCCCTCCTCGCCTCTTTCCCTTCCCCTTCCGCTTTATCCTTCCCTTCCCGTTCGCCACCTCCCGTTCAATTGTTGTGCATATGTGACTAACCTGGAACTTATGCTTAGCCCATCCCAGTTGATTCTAAAGTCACATCCCCTACCTCTTCACCTTCACCATTCCCTTCCCCTTCACCTATGCTATCATCCCCTTATCCTCGTTTGCAGGGTCTCCTTTACCCCGTTTGAAGATCCAGCCTGCTCCCCAGAGGGTCATGTCTACAATATTGTGCAAGCCTCGTTTCACGTCCACAAATTCTCAAAACTTTGTTACGAACCGGATGATGTCCATACATCAGCGCTATAGCTGATGATGGCTGCTTCCCAGAGGGCCACGCCTACGATATAGTGTAAGCCTCTCGTTTCACCTCCGCAAAATTTCAAAACCCTGTTACATTGCTGATGCTGCTGCTAAGGATTTAAATCTCCCCCAAAAAAAACCCAATTTCTCAGAACACTGCTACAAAGCTAATTTACAAGTACCAATGATATCCACACCACTTTGGTTCTAAAAAGCACACTGTCTGAACAGTGCCCCTGACTAGTGTAAGTCATCAACTTGTCCTGACCTGAATGTGGTGCTAGTGGTCTTTGGAATTGTTGGATTCGTGCAATCATTCCCCTCCTGCTGCTCCCATTCCCTCACTCCGTCCCCTGCTCCTCCTTTCTGACATGGTCGGCTGCACAGTAACATCGTGCCGTACATTCAGAAGTTCAAGCGTAACCCAGTTACCGGCAAGCCTCTGGCTCTCAAGGACCTGATCAAGCTTCACTTCCACAAGAACGCCGACGGTTCGTCCCAGCATAACCTGGTTGTTGTTATTGCTGACCTGTCTTTGCTCCGTGTCGTGCTTATGAGAATTGTCAAGAGTGCCCTAATAAATAGTCCTGATCAAGCTTCACTTCCACAAGAACGCTGACGGTTCGTCCCAGCGTAAACCCATCCTCCCTTCACGCTCTGTCGCATGTGCAGTTTGCTGAATCTGTGGCATTATGGTGTTACCAATCCACATTTTGCCCTTCCTTCCATGCAGCGGTTCATAGCACATTATTTTTATTCTTTCCACCTTCAACGTTTTTCCTCACTTCCCCCCCCCCTCCCCCCCCCCACCCACCTCCCCTCCTCCCCTTCCCCCTCTCTACTTATTTTACGATTTTGTGACACTGGAATTGCTGTTGATGCCCCCAGGCGAGTACCATTGCCCAGTTTTGAAGAAGGTGTTTACCGAGTTTACCCACATCGTGGCTGTTAAGACAACTGGCAACGTGTTCTGCTATGAGGTGAGAGAGGGAGAAAATGGAGAGAAGGGAGAGTAGGGGAGAAGTACTGTCGAACGAGCAGAAGAAATTATCAGCAAGAAGGAGAAAAGCTATGGTGAAATGAGAACAAGGAGAGAAACGAGATTAACGTGTTATGCTACGGGGAAGTTGAGATCTTCCTGACCTAAGACGCTTTTAGGTTTGCTTAGTTGTCTTACCCCCAGCCCAAGAACTGGAAAGAGCTGATATAGTGCGTCTCTCTCACCCTCCTCTTTTACACTCCTCCCCCCCCACTCCCATATTGCCTCTTAACCCTCCTTGATGGCTTGATGTGTGCTCCCCTCACGCCAGGCTTTTAAGGAATTGAACGTGAAGCCCAAGAACTGAAAGGAGCTGCTCACAGATATAGTGCGTGCGTCCCTCTCCCCCTGCCCTCAACCTGCTTCCCTCTCCCCCTCACACCTCCCCCATCCATCCCCCCACACCAGGCCATCAAGGAGCTGAACGTGAAGCCCAAGAACTGAAAGGAGCTGCTCACAGATGTAGTGCGTGTCACTACCAACTCGTGTTCCTCGTTGCTTCCCAACTCTAACAATTCTTCTCCCCGCCTTTCCCCGTCTCTCTTGAAGTTGCCTGATTGTTACGTCTCAGAGCGTTTTCCACTTTTCCCCGTGCCTTGATTTCTTGCCATTCCCGCTTCTCTCTGCTGTTTCCTTCCTACCCTCTGCTGTTCCCTTCCCACCTTCTGCTGTCCCTTTCCGGGCCTCAAGAATAGGCTGTGAACAAGTTGAACACAGCTGGTTCCGTTTCTTCTCCCTTTTCACCGCCGCTACTCCCCTCACACCCGCAGGACCCCAACAATCTGGATGCCAATGTGTAAACTGAATTCGACCACGTAAGGCACAGCCTCGCAGCTCCCAAGAAAGGTGAGCCACACAACAGAAAGGTGAACACAACAGCATTCAGCTACCCAAACAGTTTGACGCGTTCATCAGTGACCAGAGAAGGCAGCGGAGCAGCATTGGACGTCAGTGCAGGAGGTTGATACCCAGTATGGGTAGGTACCCATGCAGTAGGCCCATGCATAGGTACCCATGCAGACCAGGCCAGTATGTCAGAGAGCATACAGCGCATGTCAGAGAGCATACAGTGCATACTGGCCTCTCCGTGCTGTCTGTTGCCCCTCCGTTTCCCTCCCCTGCCAGTCAAATTTAGCGCAGCAGCATCGGGTGTCAATGCAGTGGTATCAGGAAGCATCCAGCGCGTTCTGGTCTCTTTGTGTCTGCCTGCCAGTGCCGCTTATTCCATTCCTTGCCCCCCTTGCTTTCCAGGTAAAGGCAGCGCAGCAGCATCGGGTGTCAATGCAGTGGTATCAGAGAGAATTCAGCACGTTCTGGTCGCTTTGTGTCTGCCTGCCATTGCCGCTCACTCCCTCCCTTCACTCTCCTTCCAGGCGACGGCAGCGCAGCAGTATCAGAGAGCATCCAGCTCATTGTGGCAGCCCTTCCCAAGAACGACGGCGAGGAGGCTGGAGTCGGTTCATCCAAGGTAGGCTTATCTGAGGCGGGTTTTTCTGGGTTTATTCTGGGTAGCACTCAGCATTCAGCGCGTTGTGGCTTCCCTTTTAAAGAACGACGCGAGGAGGCCGGGGTCGGTTCATTTGGAGTAGGCTCATCTGGGGTGGGCTCATCTGGGGTGGGGTGGACTCATGTTGGGGGGGCCTTGTCTGGGGTCATTCTGGGTTGTTTTATCTCGCTGTTGCAGTGATTACTTATCTATTTTGCATATATAATTCCTTTATTCTACTGCTGTCAGGGCGCATCCCAGGTGCTGCTGGGCGGGGGAGGAAGCAAAGCAAGGAAGGAAGCAGCAGCAGCAGCAGCAGCAGCAGCAGCAGCACTAGAGGCAAGGAAAGCAGAGGAGGTAGCTGCTGCTGCCGCCGCCGCTGGCAGAGAGGCCCTAGCCGCACAAGAGGGGGGAGAGGGCGCGGAGCAAGCAGGGGAAGGAGGGGCGGTAGGAGCAGGAGCTAGTGGCAAAGGAAAGGGAGGTGGGGAGAAGGGGAAGAGGAAGCGGGGAGAGGAACGGGAGGCCTAGCAGCAGAAGAAGCACGTTCAGCAGCAGATCCTGCAGAGGCAGAGGTTCCTCTGGAGAGACGTGAAAAAAGGAGTGTTTTGAGACGTCTCAAAACAGAGGCAGAGGTTCCTCTGGAGAGACGTGAAAAAAGGAGTGTTTTGAGACGTCTCAAAACAGAGGCAGAGGTTCCTCTGGAGAGACGTGAAAAAAGGAGTGTTTTGAGACGTCTCAAAACAGAGGCAGAGGTTCCTCTGGAGAGACGTGAAAAAAGGAGTGTTTTGAGACGTCTCAAAACAGAGGCAGAGGTTCCTCTGGAGAGCATCTCCTGATCAGGGTAAACACATGTTGATTCACTTGTTTTTTAGCCTAATCTCTTTCTAGTATGCAGCTACTAAATCTCTGTGTTTTCGTATGTGCTGAAATGTGCCCAGCTGAATCAAGAGAGGGCTGAAATGGCGGCTGCTTTAGCTGCTGAGGAGTCATTGAAGCAGGAAGAGTCTACTTAATGTGCTGATGGAAACCCGAACAGTTTCATTATTAAGTCACTTCACGACATGGGTGTTGGCTTGAGCCCAACAGCTGAATCTGAGATGGAAGGTGTTGATTCTGAAGACAGTGAGAGTGAGTTTTTGTAATTTTAGTACAACGATTTTACAAGACGAAACATGTTTTCCTTTCTTTCGTCCTTCTCTTTTCAGTAGATTATTGACCATTCTGCTCATTGTTATGCAGGTGAACCTGACAAGTCTAGAGAGAGTATTCAACTTGAAGAAGTCCAGAACTTTCAGAATGGTCGTGACGTTCCTGTTCCTGCTTCTCCGAGGCCATGTGACACAGTGCTTGAGCCCGTCAGATTTGGAAATCCTTGTTGGAGGCACATCTTCTCCCTCTCGCAGTGCTGATTTGGCAAGTCTGGGTGGAATTGTATCTCACACCTTCCTCCTCTCACACCTTCTTTGTCTGGGTGGAATCTTATCTCAGAGTAATGGATCTGTTTCACTGCCAGCTACGCCTCAAGTGTGGACACCCCTGTACGAGATTGGATCAGGGGGGTCGTCCACATCTGAGCGTTTGGCTGCGACATCCAGCTTGCGAGCTCGAAGAGCGGCTCTTTTGGCATTGCCATCTCTCCAGATTCCGAGCTTTCTTGCCTCCCCAGGTGTGTGTAGAAATCCCTTCCATCGATATATTTGTCCCGCAAATCAAATGGTGCTGAGTGCTATATACGCTGATTGGTTTTGGTGCAGGGCCTGTCGAATCATTCTCTGCCATTCGTGGATCTCCTGGGAGCATGCTTCCAGGAAGTTCCATCCCGCCAGTGCAAGCTCCCCTGGGACAGTTCAGTTCCTTCAACGCTCAAACCAACCAGCCACGCTCCGCTCCTCTGTTACCATCTGCTGATTCTGACCCAACTTATTTGGCCGCTTCAACACTTGATAGAACTCCACAATGGCAGAAGCCATGGCCAGGAGAATGCCTGGCATCTGAGATCCCCTCTAGCCTGACTGATCCACAATACCTGAAGGTCCTGAAGGTTCTGTCACTCCTAGGCAGGAAGTTGTGCTAGCTGGTAGGCTTTTTTGAATGTGGAAAATTGGGGAGCTTTGCGAGCAGTGCCAGGCTCAGCCTTATCTGGATTCATGCCAGGTCCTTCATTTCATTCTCCACCAACTCCTACTCTGCTGGGCCGCTCTCTATCCAGTGCGGCACTTCTTGAACCGAGTTGACTTTTGAGTCGACTCAAAAGTCAACTCTATCCAGTGCGGCACTTCTTGAACCTGAGGTAAGCCACTTTCCGGATTTTGTTGGATCAGTGCCGGCTTTTGAGAGTGACTGCTCATGCACTCCTTGTTTTCCCGCCTGCAGGTCTGTAGAACTTTTAATATGAATGGAACTTGTCCTTACGGCATGCGATGCCGTTTCATTCACTATACCTCAGCTACCACCTCAGCGGCGAGCTCTCCAGCTATTGGAGCCTCTCACAGTCAGTTCAATACCACCAGCTCTCGTGTGTCTGGATCTGGTGGCCTTGTGCCATCTCCCTTGAAGTCTCAGCTTTCTCTTCCGACTGCCAGGATCAGTGCATCTTCTTTGGGGAGTGCGTTTTCCACCCCGCTTGGCAGCACTCGCCGGTTGCCGGTGTTTGAAACCATTTGTAGGGAGTCAGGCTTAGGGCGCGCCCCCTCCCTCGATCGATCGCAAGATCGACGTGAAAAAACGATCGGGCACACTGATCGCAGGATTGGGGCGGGATTGGTAGGAGGTGGCAATCGCGGATCGATCTCGAGCCCAGGGTGACAGGATCGAGAATTCAAGGGGGAAAAACTCTCGATCCTACAAAAGCCGAGATCGGTGTGGCCACGAAGGCACGTCGATCGTCATCAGCGGAGGTGACAAGATCGTTGGGCCCCAGTTACTGTACATTCGCTAGCCATCTCGAATTGTGGTTACCCTGTCAATTGCGACACTGTAGGTGTCCCTCGATCGATCGAGGGCAGGATCGATCGAGGGAGGGGACGCGCCCCTAGAGCCGTCCACTCAGCGCAACTCAAATAGCTGTTATGGTGGGTGAGTAGCTTGCACACAGTTGCAACGTGGTTGCTGTTATGTTGGGTGCTTGTCTGGGTGGGATGGGGGTTTGACTTTCTGTTCTCATGTAATTCATTCATGTTCTTTTATTCCTATATCGTATTTAGTGCACTTTATGAGTTCTATGTTCTGATTCTTGTGACAGGTTTGCCTTTGTACAGTACATAACTATGGATGCATGCCATTTACATTATAACAGAAGACCCCAGGTCAGTGTTCGCAAAGAGAGAAGGGCCGCTCAAACAGTTCCTCATTTGCCCTCCTCACCAGTGCTTTCCTTTCCTCCATCATCTCTTCCCTGTACTCTTTTGCTTCTTCCAAACTCATTCCAACTGCTGATGGACCCGTGATCAGCCTGCCTGCAATCATTTCAAGTGCAAGAGAAGGCAGGCTCCGACACGGGTTCCCTCTCCTCTCCAGCTCGTAGCGCCTCCATGCCAGCTGCTGAGGAGGCACACGTGCTGTTGACACAACTCTAGTCTTTGGGTCCACAAGAAAAAACACAAGGATCTTGCGATGCCCAGGCTTGGACTTGTCGGCGAGCTCAAACGGAGCTACACAGTGATGGTAGTGGTTTGGGAACGCCAGGCACAGGCCTGGCGTAGAGGTTTGGACCGAGCCTAGGGGCTGGACGAGTGGGCCGTCATCCACAAGCCCGTAGATCATTTGGACTCCCCTTCGGTCGCCTTGCTCATACTCTGGCTCCATGACTGTGTGTCTGAACTTCAGGCGCGACTCCGAGATGTTCTCAATGTCAAAGTAATAGATGCCAGTGGCCTGTGAGGGTGATGGATTGACCATGAGATTAGGCAACATGGAGGGAGAAATTTATGGAACCATAACAAGGAAAGCTAGCAAGTACAGATGAATGGAGGCAATGACTCACCACAATGCTCTCGTTCCTCATTCCCTCCACATGCCACGTGCCTCCAGGGTACTTCGGCTGATCCGGGGTGAGACAGATGGAAGCAATCTTCACTATCACCTGTAACCGTCTGCCCTGCAGCGTCACCACTCGCTCCTCGGGTGGTTCTGGGGGTGGTGAGAAGTCTGGAACCTCTGGCTGAATGGGGTCCTGGTCTTCGTAGTCTTCTTCATCACTTGAGTCATACCAGCTGCAGTAGGTCAGATGAGAAAGGACCGAGCACATGTGTTGTTAGGCAGTTGGGTCTTAGGAAACTTTGGTTCTCAGGCTCTGAGCACATGTGTTGGATGTTTCCTACATCAGACCTGCAGTGTCGTCACTTATGAAATGGCAATACCATAAGTGCATGACAAACATGTTATGAACGAGGCAATACCTGACGGGGTTGGAAGTGATCCGCAGAGGTCGTGGGTTGGCAGAGTCTGTCAGCACCTTATTGAACAACGGCACGAACGCCAAGGCAAATATCTTCTCCAGGCTTCGATACGTCTCTGCAAACTCAAGCGGATGTAAATTGTTGATGTATGACCGGAACTTTGCACCCTGTCCGTCCGCACAAACATCAATCTCTGCTGGCAGCCATTGAAATGTATCTGAAAAAAACTCATCTTCCACCAAACTCCTCCGAGCCTGACTTCCCTCCTCCGAATCCGCCGCCAAACCTGCAAGTTCACCAGCGTCGGCAACCGAGCCTAACTCACTGACCATCTGGTCCCACGGCAGGACATCCTGAGTGGTGTAGTCAGGGTCGGTAATGACTCTGGTTCGGCCGTACACGAGGCAGTGGAGTGACGGATGGACCAAGTCAATGACCTGCTTGTTCGACCCTGGATGGTAGTCAATCTGATCCTCGGGAACTGATTCCAGGCGATGCATGCCTTGCAGAACCGGCTGGAGAATGTCAGGCGGAAAGGAGGCCGACGGAATGAGGTAAACACCGTCTACTGCGCTTGGCATGACTAGTGGCGTGACTGGCATGACTGGTGTGTCTGGCATGGCCAGAGAGGAGGGATTGTAAGTGGTGGCTTGCCAGCGAAGCTCCTCAATGGCGTAGTCGATTAGATCAGGGTCCACCTGATGGGAGAGGAACCAAGGGAATGCATGCTGAATGGAGTCAGCAAGGTAAGCAAGTCCCATGGCTCGATATAAGTAGGATTAATTGGAGCAAAATTTCATTAGATGGGTGGAACGGAAGGAGGGTGGAAGGGAGGTGTTGTGAGGGGAGGGGGGGAGGAGCGCATGCGATAGCAAGATATTTCACCTTGACAACCCTCTTGCCGTTGTCTCTCAGGAATGAAACCACACTGGCAGGATCATCAAGCGAGACGTCTCTTTCTTCCCTCACGAAATACGCTTTTGCCGGTCGGACGGGATTCGTCAGTTCCTCCTTCCACTTCGCTAAAATCACGTCGTCCATGACCTTCCTCATCCAATCCGTCTTTTCTCGGATGCTTCCCATGACGATGCATAGCAACTGCTCCTTGAGGGTCTTCACTTCGAAGCCCGAGGAATAGTCCCCCGCGTTGTCAAACGGATTCGGAAAATCAGGAAGGTCCTGATTGATAAACATGGTGACGAATCCCCTTAAAAATACAAGAATATACAGAATTTGTTCTAGGAGGAAGACCTACAATAAATGAAAGGACAGAGCAACACACAGCAGAAGAAATAGTCCACCAGCTCGGGAAGTGCAAGGGATTTCTGCACCCAGCGTTTCACAGAAATGGAGTCTGTGAGAAGGTGCGAGCGAGCCTAAGCTTGGCGGGAAATTTCGAGAGCGGAATATATATGGCTCTGAAGATGTAAGCTTCACCCTGAAGCCCAAACCAGCGTTGTAGAACTGAACCCAGTTGAACCGAGATACAACCAGCTTTAACCAGCTGAACCGAATAGAACTCAACTGGGCCCAAACCAAGTGTAGGACCTGCCGACTTTTGGGACTCCACCCGAAACAGCTCGCCCAAAAAAATGTAGGGCCCCGGGGCCTGGAATCAGGATTCCTGACCAATCCAGCTGAGCCTTGGGAACTGCGATTGGCGACCTGGCTGACGAGCGGGTCCTGATTGGCAAGGAGAAATCGCTGTAACCGGGCTTTCCTCGCAATGCGAGAATGTTGTCACGGACCAAACATCGCTCAAGATCCCTGCGGACACTGTGGTCTCTAGGAAAACTGTTTGGAGGCTGACGAACTCTCGCGAGGTGCAGCGGGTTGACGAAGAGGTTTCGGGTCGCAGAGAAAACCCTGTTGCCTCTAGTTTGCTTTTGCGACGAAGAGGCTCGCCAAGGAGCTTTCGTGACAATATTCGTTAGGCTGTGATTCGCTGTTTAGGTGCAGTGGCAAGCGAACTCAGCGTTACACGTTTGCGGATTCGAAACAAGCAACGGAAACACGGACTTGCTAATATAGGAGTCTTGTTCGTGATTGAGACTGTACTTTTTTCAGGGGAAAGCGCAGGTACCGAGCCGTCTCCTCGCTTTTCTGATCTGCTAGCGGGCCCATGTCAGTCGGCTCGTCTTTAAGGATCCATCCGCATCGCTGGTTCCCTTCGTGTCATTCTCGTTTCCGCTACAGGCACATCCTATACCGTTCATAGTCGCCCAAGATGGGTAAAAAGCAGCACAGCAAGGATCGCATGTTCATCACAACAACGGAGTGGGCCTCGGAGTGGGGGGTAGCCAAGGCAAAAGACACCCGCACGCCGTTCCGCCGTCTCCCCTTCTACTGCTGTGCGTACGTGACTGATCATTCCACTTTCGCTTCCGCTTCTCCCTCATCGTCCGCTTCCCTTCCCATTCACCTTTTCTTCCGCCGCCTCCCCTTCTACTGCTGTGCGTACGTGACTGACCCTTCCGTTTTCACTTCCGCTTTTCCCACCTCGTCCGCTTCCCCAACCCTTCCAGTTCACCTTTTCCTTCCCTCCCGCCGCGTCCCCTTCAATTTCTGTGCAAACTTGACTGGCCTTTGCGGCCTGAAACTAATGGTTTGGAGCTCTTTTCCTTTTTTTCCCTTTCTCCCCCTTCCCCTGGTTCCCCTCTCCCTTCCCCTTCCCGTTTCCCGTTCCCTTCCTCTTCCCTTCCCCTTTTCCTTCCCCTTTTCCTTCCCCTTCCGCTTCCCCTTAACCTTCCCGTTGTTCCCCTTCCTCGTCACCTTCCCGTTCCCCCTCACCTATGCTGCCGTTCCCGTTATCCTCGTTTGCAGGGTCTCCTTTACCCCGTTCGAGGATCCAGTCTGCTCCCCAGAGCTTCATTCATGTCTACGATATTGTGTAAGCTTCGTTTCCCTTCTGCAATTCCTGAAAACACTGTCAACACTGTCTGAAAGCCCTGGTACAAATTACACCACTGTGGTTCTAATGCACACTGTGCAAGCAAACAGTGTCCCTGATTGGAATAACTCGTCTTGAATCATTGATTCGCGCAATAATGTCTCTAACGTGCTGCTCTGCTCCTACTCTCCCACCCCCTCTCTCACTCCTTTCTCACATGGTCGGCTGCACAGTAACATCGTGCCGTACATTCAGAAGTTCAAGCGTAACCCGGTTACTGGCAAGCCTCTGGCTCTCAAGGACCTGATCAAGCTTCACTTCCACAAGAATGCTGACGGTTCGTCCCAGTATAGCCTAGCTATCATTGTCCTCTCTTTGCTACGAGGTGAGGAAGAGTTGGCTGAAAGGGAGAAAAAGGGGGAGGTGTAGGAGAATGATATGACAAAAAAAAGAGAGGAATGTTTAACATGTTTTGCATTTCGTTGAAAAAAATCTTATTGTTCTCAACATCCGTACCCTATTTCCCCTCCCCCCCCTTACACCAGGCCATCAAGGAGCTGAACGTGAAGCCCAAGAACTGGAAGCCGAAGGAGCTGCCAGATGCAGTGCGCGTGTATCTCCCCACTGCCCTCAACCCCCCGCCCCCCCCTCCTCCTCCTCCATCCCCCCTCCTTCCCCTTAAACCAGGCCATCAAGGAGCTGAACGTGAAGCCCAAGAACTGGAAGGAGCTGCTCACAGATGAGCCCTTCACACGTGCTGACATCATCACTATCCAGGCATGTGACATCATCACTATTTAGAAATGTGACGTCATCACTTTTGTGCAAGCATGTGATGTCATCACCATTTATGCACATGACATTTCCACTGCGTGTTCCTCGTTGCTTCCCAACTCTATTATTTCTTCTGCCTGTCTTTCCCGTCTCATCAATTCTTAGTAACTGAATATTGCAAGATTTTAGTCCTGAAACGTCTCAGAGCCTTTTCTGATTTCCCCCTTGCCTTGATGTCTTGCCATTCTCGCTTCTCCCTGCTGTTTTCTTCTCACCCTCTGTTGTTACCTTCCGGGCCTCAAGATTAGGCTGTGAACAAGTTAAACACAGCTGTTTCCATTTCTTCTTCCTTTCCACCGCACCTACTCCCCTCTTACTCTGCAGGACCCCAACAATCTGGATGCCAATGTGCTCACAGAGTTCGACCACGCCAAGCAGAACCTTGCACCTCGAATGTCCCAGCGCTTTTCGTCCTCTCCCCCCTTGCTCTCTCTCACCCTGTGCTGTTTACTTCCTTCCATCCCTCCCCTCCTTTTCGCAGGACCCCAACATCCAATCTGGATGCCAATGTGCTCACGGAGTCTGACCACGTCAAGAAGAACCTTGCAGCTCCCAAGGAAGGTGAGCCGTGGAGAGGCATAACAGTTAACGAACCGGATGGCACATCCCTCACGTGTTATGTGTTAGCAAGTTCTCCACGCTAATGTGCTCACGGAGTTCGACCACGTCAAGCAGAACACCGCAGCTCCCAAGGAAGGTGAGCCGTGGAATGCGTTTCGGCCTTTTAGGCGGGAGAAAAACAGCATACAGCACCAGCAGCTCCAGAGAGCATCCAGCTCTTCTCAGACAGCCCCCCCGAGTGACTGTTGCAGTGTCTGGAAAAATCCTCTCCTGAGACCTCAGTGCTTCGCTCTTGTCAGCCAGTGCCTTTTTTGTCCTCCCCTTTTTTGTCTTGACCTCCCCTTTTTTGTCTCTCTTCCATTCCTTTCTCTTTGCCTGCCAGGCAAAGGCAGTGCAGCAACATCGGGCGCAGCAGTGCCTGAGAGCATTCAACGCTGTCTGGCTGTTTTCATTCGCAGACGCCCCTCATTTCTTTCCTCCCCTCCCCTGCCAGGCGAAGGTGGTGTAGCAGCATCAGGCATCAACGCAGCAGTGTCAGAGAGCGCTCATCTAGTCCTGGCCTCTCGTATTTGTTGACTACCCTCCATTCCTCCACTTGCTTGGCAGGCGAAGCCAGAACAGCAGCATGGGGAGTGCATGCAGCATGGGGAGTGCATGCAGCATGGGGAGTGCATGCAGCATGGGCAGTGCATGCAGCATGGGGAGTGCATGCAGCATGGGGAGTGCATGCAGCATGGGGAGTGCATGCAGCTTGGGGAGTGCATGCAGCATGGGGAGTGCATGCAGCATGGGGATTGCATGCAGCATGGGGAGTGCATGCAGCATGGGGAGTGCATGCAGCATGGGGAGTGCATGCAGCATGGGGAGTGCATGCAGCATGGGGAGTGCATGCAGCATGGGGAGTGCATGCAGCATGGGGAGTGCATGCAGCATGGGGAGTGCGTGCAGCATGGGGAGTGCGTGCAGCATGGGGAGTGCGTGCAGCATGGGGAGTGCGTGCAGCATGGGGAGTGCATGCAGCATGGGGAGTGCATGCAGCATGGGGAGTGCATGCAGCATGGGGAGTGCATGCAGCATGGGGAGTGCATGCAGCATGGGGAGTGCATGCAGCATGGGGAGTGCATGCAGCATGGGGAGTGCATGCAGCATGGGGAGTGCATGCAGCATGGGGAGTGCATGCAGCATGGGGAGTGCATGCAGCATGGGGAGTGCATGCAGCATGGGGAGTGCATGCAGCATGGGGAGTGCATGCAGCATGGGGAGTGCATGCAGCATGGGGAGTGCATGCAGCATGGGGAGTGCATGCAGCATGGGGAGTGCATGCAGCATGGGGAGTGCATGCAGCATGGGGAGTGCATGCAGCATGGGGAGTGCATGCAGCATGGGGAGTGCATGCAGCATGGGGAGTGCATGCAGCATGGGGAGTGCATGCAGCATGGGGAGTGCGTGCAGCATGGGGAGTGCGTGCAGCATGGGGAGTGCGTGCAGCATGGGGAGTGCGTGCAGCATGGGGAGTGCATGCAGCATGGGGAGTGCATGCAGCATGGGGAGTGCATGCAGCAGTGTCTGAGGTCACTTTTGAGTCGACTCAAAAGTCACCTCGAAGCCAGAACAGCAGCATGGGGAGTGCATGCAGTAGTGTCTCAGAGCATCCATCACGTCCCTGCCTTCTTGTCCGCCTGCCAATACGCCTTCTTCCTCCCCTTGCTCTCCAGGCGAAGGCAGCGCAGCAGCGTCAGGGGTGAAGGCAGCAGTGTCGGAGAGCGTTCAGCGCGTCCTGGTCCCTTTGGACCGCCTGCCAATGCCCCCTATTCCTTCCCCCTCCCCTTCCCCCCCCCTCCCTGCCAGGCGAAGGCAGCGCAGCAGCGTCAGGGGTGAAGGCAGCAGTGTCGGAGAGCATTCAGCTATTGGATCTTCTCCCAGTCAGCTTAATACCACCGGCTCTCACGTGTCTGGATCCTGTGGTCTCGTGTTTTTGTTTTCTTGAAGGCTCAGCTTTCTCGTCCGACTGCCAGGAGCGGTGTATCTTCTTTGGGAAGTGCATTTTCCACCCCGCTTGGCACCCCTCTCCGGTTGCTGGTGTTTGAAACCATTTGCAGGGAGTCAGGTTTAGAGCTGTCCACTCAGCGCAACTCAAATGGCTGTTATGGTGGGTGAGTTTGCTTGCACGCAGTTGCAGCTTAGATAGCTGTTATGGTGGGTGCTTGTCTTGGTGGGATGGGAGTTTGTGGAGCAAGGCAAAGTTGGGATCAAGTTGACTTTCTGTTCCCATGTACCGGTATTTCATTCATCATGTTCTTTTATTACCGTACTAGATAGTATTAGGTTTGCCTTTCATCCAAACAGAAGACACCACCTTAGTGTTCACAAAGTGAGAAGCTTCCCTCAAACAGTTCATTCGCGCTCCTCTCTCCTGCTTTCCTTTCCTCCATCAACTCTTCCCTGTACTCCTTCGCCTCTTCCAGACTCATGCCAACTGCTGAAGGACCCGTTATCAGCCTCTCTGCAACAATATCAAGTGCAAGAGAAGGCAGGCTCCTACATGGGTTCCCTTTCCTTTCCAGCTCCTTGCGCCTCCACGCCAGCTGCTGAGGAGGCACACGTGCTGTTGACATAACTCTCTCGTTCGGGTCCACAAGAAAAAACACGAGGATTTTGCGATGCCCAGGCTTGGACTTGTCGGCTAGCTCTAAGGGAGCCACACAGTGATGGTAGTGGTTTGGAAAGGCCAGGCACAGGCCTGGCGTGGAGGTTTGGACCGTGCCTAACGGCTGGAGGAGTGGGCCTTCATCCACGAGCCCATAGATCATTTTAACTCCCTTTCGGTCACCATGCTCGTAGTCTGGCTCCCTGACTGTGTGTCGGAACTTCAGGCGTGACTCTGAGATGTTATCAATGTCGTAGTAATAGATCCCAGTGGCCTGTGACGATAACGCATTGCCCATGAGATTAGGGAACATCGAGGGAAAATTTACGAAATCATGCAAAGGAAAAGCTAGCAGGTAGGGATGAAAGCAGGCAGGGACTTACCACAATGCTTTCGTTCCTCATGCCCTCAACATGCCACATGCCTCCCGGATACTTGGGCTGATCCGGGGTAAGACAGATAGAAGCAATCTTCACTATCACCTGTAAACGTCTGCCCTGCAGCTTCACAACGTCCTCCTTGGGTGGTTCTGGGGGAGGTGAGAAGTCTGGTACCTCTGGCTGAACGGGTTCCCTGTCTTCCATATAAGCCTCCTTGTCTTCGTCATCACTTAACTCATACGCTCGATCACCTTTCCAGCCTTCGTACCAGCTGCAGTGGGTTGGAGAAGAATGGAGTGAGCAAAGTCATGTGCTGCTAGGTAGTTGGCTCCGAGAGAGCTTTACCTCTTAGGCTTTGAGCACATGCATTGAATTTGTACAGCGTTATACATCCGCCCACCGTTTTCCCTACTAGATGGAAACACCATAAGCGGAAAGTAAGACGAAAAATGACGAACACAATTTCAACCAAGCAATACCTGTAGGGGTCGGCAGTAATCCGCAGTGGCCGTGGATTGGCAGACTCTGTCAGCACCTGATTGAACAGCGGCACGAACGCCAAGGCAAATATCTTCTCCAGGCTTCGATACGTCTCTGCAAACTCCAGCGGATGCAGATTGTTGATGTATGACCGAAACTTTGCACTCTGCCCGTCCACAGACACATCAATCTCGGCTGGCAACCATTGAAATGCATCTGAAAAGAACTCTACTTCCACCAACCTCCTCCTTCTTCTCCCCTGAGCCTGGCTTTTCTCCTGCAGAGCCGTTGCCAAATCTGCAAGTTCACCAGCATCGGCAACCAAGCCTAACTCACTGACCATCTGGTCCCACGGCAGGACATCCAGAGTGGTGTAGTCAGGGTCGGTAATGACTCTGGTTCGGCCGTACACGAGGCAGTGGAGTGACGGATGGACCAAGTCAATGACCTGCTTGTTTGACCCTGGATGGTAGTCAATCTGATCCTCGGGAACGGATTCCAGGCGATGCATGCCTTGCAGAAACGGCTGGAGAACGTCAGGCGGAAAGGAGGCCGACGGAATGAGGTAGACGCCGTCCACTGCGCTTGGCATGACTGGCATGGCCGGAGAGGAGGGGTGGTGAGTGGTGGCCTGCCAGCGAAGCTCCTTGATGGCATAGTCGACTATATCAGAGTCCACCTGAGAGGAATCAGGAGAATGCATGCGAATAGGGTCAGCAAGGTAAGCAAGTTTTAACATTCGATAACAACAGCTAAAATTTGAACGAAATGGAAGGATGGAGGGAAGGAGGACACGGGGGTTAGAAAGAGACATGTGATAACAAACGATCTCACCTTGACAATCCCCTTGCCATTGTCCCTCAAGAATGAAATCACGCTGGCAGGATCATCAAGCGACACGTCCCTTTCTCCCCACACGAAATATGCTTTCGCGGGTCGGACGGGATTCATCAGCTCCTCTTTCCACTTCGCTACAATCACGTCGTCCATGACCTTCCTCATCCAATCCGTCTTTTCTCGAATGCTTCCCATGACGTGGCATAGCAACTGCTCCTTAAGGGTCTTCACTTCGAAGCCCTGATCATGGTCTCCCGCGACGCAAAATGGATTCGGAAAATCAGGAAGGTCCTCATTGCTAAGCATGGTGACGAATCCCCCTGAAAACACAGAATATACAGATATCGTTCTAGAGGGAGGGCCTATGATAAACGACAAGAAATGCTGAAGATTAGTGCATGACACAGCAGAAGAAATAGTCCACCAGCGCAAGAGACTTCTCCAGCCAGCGTCTCACAGTTATGGAGTTTCATGGCTGTCTGTGAGAAGGTGCGAGCCTCAAGCTTGGCGGGAAATTTCTAGTGCGAAGGTATGGCTGCAATCCAACGATACAAGCTTTACCCTGAAGCCCAAACCGGGCTAGTAAAACTAACCCATTTGAACCCAGATTAAACCAGCTCAAACCATCTGAACCAAAAAGAACTCAACTGGACTCAAACCAGCAAGTGCAGGACCTGCCGACTTTTCGAACTCCACCTGAAACAGCTCGCCCAAAATGATCGTCGGGTCCCGGAGGACTTGGAATCAGGATTCCTGACCAATCCCGCCGAGCCTTGGGACCTGCGGTTGGCGACCTGGCTGACGAACGGGTCCTGATTGGCAAGGAGAAGTCGCTGTAACCGGGCTGTCCTCGCAATGCGAAAATGTTGTCACTGACCAAACATCGCTCAAGATTTTAGGGCACACTAGGCTGACTCCAGGAAAACTGTTAGTTACCGAGCCGTCTCCTCGCTTTTCTGATCTGCTAGCGGGCCCATTTCAGTCGGCTCGTCTTTAAGGATCCATCCGCATCGCTAGTTCCCTTCGTGTCATCCTCGTCTCCGCTACACGCACATCCGGTACTATTCGTAGTCGGCCAAAATGGGAAAAAAGCAGCACAGCAAGGATCGCATGTTCATCACAACAACGGAGTGGGCCTCGGAGTGGGGGGGAGCCAAGGCAAAAGACACCCGCACGCCGTTCCGCCGCCTTCCCTTCTACTGCTGTGCGTACGTGACCGACCCTTCCGTTTTCGTTTCCGCTTCTCCCTCCTCGTCCGCTTCCTCATCCCCTTCCAGTTCACCTTTCTCTTCCCTCCCGCCGCCTCCCCTTCAATTCCTGTGCATACGTGACTGATCTTTGCGTCTTGAAACTAATGGTTAGGAGCCCTTTTCTTTCTTCTCCCCTTTTCCCTTCCCCTTCCCCGTCTCGACACTGGTTCACCTTTCCCTTCCCCTTCCCGTTTCCCGTTCCATTCCTCTTCCCTCCCCCTTTTCCTTCTTCTTCCGCTTTCTCTTTACCTTCTCGTTGTTCCCCTTCCTCTTCCCCTTCCCCTTCCCCTTCATCTATGCTGCTGTTCCCTTTATCCTCGTTTGCAGGGTCTCCTTTACCCCGTTTGAAGACCCAGTCTGCTCACCAGAGGGTCACGTCTACGACATTGTGTAAGCTTCGATTCCCTTCTGCAACTCCTCAAAACACTGTCAAAATTCTTTTGAGGCGCCTCAAAAGTGTAAGCCTTGTTTCCCTTCTGCAATTCCTCAAGACACTGTCAAAAGTCGCAAATCCGAAAGCCCTGGTACAAGTTATTAATGATATCCACACCACTGTCGTCCTAATGCACACTGCGCGAATGGAATAACTCGTCTTAAAGACTCGAGTGCGGTGCTGGTGGTATTTTGAATCATTGGATTGGATTCATTGCAATCATTTGTCCTACTCCTACTCCCTCACTCCCTCTCCCACTCCTTTCTCATATGGTCGGCGGTGCAGTAACATCGTGCCGTACATTCAGAAGTTCAAACGTAACCCAGTTACCGGCAAGCCTCTGGCCCTCAAGGACCTGATCAAGCTTCATTTCCACAAGAATGCTGACGGTTCGTACCAGCGTAACCCAGCTATCTCTGTCCTCTATTCGCTGAGTGCTGTCCTTGTGACAATTCTCAAAAGGACCCTCACAGACCTGATCAAGCTTCACTTCCACAAGAACGCTGACGGTTCGTACCAGTGTAACCCGGTTGTACTTGCTGTCCCGTCTTCTCTGCTTCCACTCCCCACTTTCTGTTACATGTGCAGTTTGCTGAATGTGTGCTATTTAACGTTAACCCCCTTTTTGGTTCTGCCGTGGTTCTATACGTTTCTATACTTTCCACCTTGTATATTTCACACCTTGTTTCTAGTTGTTCTTGCTTTTTGTGTGTGTTTCGTCACACTCGAATTGGTTTTGCTGGCCGCAGGCGAATACCACTGCCCGGTTTTGAAGAAGGTGTTTACCGAGTTTACCCACATCGTGGCTGTCAAGACAACCGGCAACGTGTTCTGCTATGAGGTGAGTGAGAAGTGGCTGAAAGGGGAAAATAAGGGGGAGGAGTAGGAGAAAGACACGCAGAAGGGGGGAGACGCAAGCCAAGAGAATGAGAAAAGTGATCAACATGTTTTGCACTTCGTTGAGAAAATGTGATTCGCACCCTATTTTTTCTCTACCACCTTACTCCAGGCCATCAAGGAGCTGAACGTGAAGCCCAAGAACTGGAAGGAGCTGCTGACCGATATGACTCGAGTCGAGATGCGTCTACATCCTCCCCACCCCCCCCCCACCACTCCCATGTTGCCTCTTTGCCCCCTTCTCCACCCCACACCAGGCCATCAAGGAGCTGAACGTGAAGCCCAAGAACTGGAAGGAGCTGCTGACGGATGAGCCCTTCACACGTGCTGACATCATCACCATTCAGGCATGTGACGTCAGCACTATTCAGGCATGTGACGTCACCACTATTCAGGCATGTGACGTCATGGTTTCCAGGCATCCATGTGATGTGTCATCACATTACTGTGTGTGCATGTAACGTCATCACTGTTGTGATGCCATGCCTGTGCTCTCTGAGTTCGACGACGTCAAGTCAAGCACAGGCTTTCAAGCACAGGCTTTCAAGCACAGGCTTTCAAGCACAGGCTTTCAAGCACAGGCTTTCAAGCACAGGCTTTCGAGGTTTGACCGAGGCCCTCTTGTCTTGTGTTTTGAGTCGACTCATCAAACCACGCCATCAAGCACAGACATCCTTCCAGCTGCAATGACCGAGTCCCTCCCGTCCCCTCTCTCCCCCATTGTCCACCCTCTTTGCTCTCTGTGCCTGTTTCCTTCCATCTCCCCTGCCCAGGACCCCAACAATCTGGATGCCAATGTGCTCACTGAGTTCGACCATGCCAACCACAGCCTTGCAGCTGCAATGAATATTTCTTTCTCTTCCTTCCTCTCCCTCCTTGTCATCCCTTTCGCTCTGTTCTGTTTCCTTCCATCCCTCCCCTTCCTCTGCAGGACCCCAACAACCTGGATGCCAATGTACTCACTGAGTTTGACCACGTCAAGCAGAACCTCGCAGCTCCCAAGGAATCCTTCTTTCTCTGTCTTCCCCTCTCTCCCTGTGATCCTTCCTTCCATCCCTCCTCTCTTCTTCTCAGGACCCCAACAACCTGGATGCCAATGTGCTCACGGAGTTTGACCACGTCAAGCAGAGCCTCGCATCTCCAATGACCCAGCGCTTCTCGTCCTCTTCCCTCTTGTTGTCTTGCTCTCTCTCACCCTGTGCTGTTCATTCCTTCCATCCCTCCCCTTCCTCTGCAGGACCCCAACAATCTGGATGCCAATGTGCTCACGGAGTTTGACCACGTCAAGCAGAACCTCGCAGCTCCCAAGGAAGGTGAGCCATTGGAACTTGGAAGAGCCTTTGAGCCGAGAATCTGCTGATATTTTCATTCATGTCTGAGGAAGTTCTCTGAATGCCAAACAATGTGCTCACCGAGTTTGACCACGTCAAGCAGAACCTCGCAGCTCCCAAGGAAGGTGAGGTGAGCCGTGAAAGAGCCTTTGAGCTGACTTTTGAGGCGCCTAAAAAAAAAACAAGATCCGCAAATTTCATATGTTAGTTAGGACGATCTCTGAATGCCAAACGAGCATTCAGCCCGTCCTTCTCTTTTTTTTTTTTTTTTTCCGTCTGCCAATGCTCCTTCTTCCTCCCGTTGCTTGGCAGGCGAAGGCGGTGCAGCAGCTTCAGGAGCGAATGCAGCTGCGTCGGAGAGCATTCAGCGCGTCCTTTTCTCTCCTTTCTGTCTGCCAATGCCCCTTATTCCTTTCCTCCGGCTCCTCTCTTTCCAGGCGAAGGCAGCGCAGCAGCATCGGGTCGGGGGTGAATGCAGCAGTGTCTGAGAGCATTCAGCGCGTCCTGGCTGCTCTTGTTTTCCGACCAACTACCCTCCACTCGTTCCTTGTTTGGCAGGCGAAGGCAGCGCAGCAGCATCAGGAGTGAATGCAGCGGTGTCTGAGAGCATTCAGCGCGTCCTGGCAGCCCTTCCCAAGAACGATGGCGAGGAGGCCGGAGTGGGTTCATCCAAGGTAGGTCCATTTGGGCTGGGCTTGTCTGTGGTTTGCTTGTCTGGTGTTATTCTGGGTTGCATTCAGCATTTAGCGCGTCCTTGCTGCCCTTCCAAAGAACGATGGCGAGGAGCCTGGAGTGGGTTCATCCAAAGTAGGTTTATTTGGGGCGAGTATATCTGGGGTGTGTTGGTTTGGGGCCCGGCCTGTTTTGGATGGATAGGTTGTTCTGGATAGATTTCAATCATCAATCGTGCCACCTTACTTATGGCAAGCTGTCTGAAATTCCACTTTAGGTGAACTAACTATGTCTCTATCGTTTCACTTAATAGATCCTCCAGTACATATTCGAGCAACTTGCATAGTGATTTCAATTCCCCTTGTCTCCTTATCCCAGGGTGCATCCCAGTTACTAATGGGTGGGGGAGGTAGCAAGGCAAGGAAGGAAGCAGCAGCGGCAGCAGCAGCACTAGAGGCGAGGAAAGCAGAAGAGGTTGCTGCTGCTGCCGCCGCTGCTGCCAGAGAAGCCCTAGCCGCACAAGAGGGGGGAGAGGGTGGAGAACAAGTAGGGGGAGAAGGAGCGGGAGGAGCAGGGGGAGCGGGAGCAGGTGCCAAAGGAAAGGGAGGTGGGGAAAAGGGGAAGAGGAAGCGGGGAGAGGAGCGGGAAGCGGAGCAGCAGAAGAAGCACGTGCAGCAGCAGATCCTGCAGAGGCAGAGAGAAATGGAGGCCCCTTCAATCGCCGGCAGCGCAGCAACCACCGCTGGTGCTGCCGGTACAGGAGGAGGAGCAGCAGGAGCAGCAGGAGGAGGCACAGCCGCCCCTCCGCCTATGAGTATTGTCGATGCGGCGAGTGCTGCTCTCTCCGGCCGCAGCGCCGCCGCCGCCAAGGCGACAGACGAGAAAAAGGCCCACGCGCGCGCAGCCGCGCACGCAGCAGGGCAGCGCGTGCCGATCAAAGAGAACACGAAGCTCGTCCGAAGTGCGTACACGTCCGGAGCGACGACGCGGTCGTTTACGTCTACGGTGTATGAGCCGGTGACGAGGACGGAGTATGAGATGGTGAGGGTGGAGAAGAAGCCGAAGAAGAAGGGGTACTGCCGCGTGCACACGAGTGCGGGGGATTTGAATGTGGAGCTGCATTGTGATATTGTCCCAAGGACGTGCGAAAATTTCCTTACGCTCGCGGAGAGGGGGTACTACAATGGGACCATCTTCCACCGCTGCATCCGGTACGTGCTGCTACCTGCTCGCTCCATTTAAATGCATGCATCCGGTACGTGCTGCGCTCCATTCAAATGCCAGGTACAACGCTCGTGTACCCTCCTGTCCGGTGCACTGTGTGATAAAATCCAACCGCAACCCTCCTGCACTCCCACCGAGTTGCATTGTTGGGATCAAATTCTCTCCTCTTCTTCCCTTTTTTCCTGCCCTTGCCCCTCTCCCCTCCCTTCTCCCCACTCCCTCCCTCCACTCCCCTCCCCCTCCTTCCTGCCCCCCCCTCGCTTCCCCCTTCTCCCCAGAAATTTCATGATCCAGGGCGGGGACCCCACCGGCACGGGCAAGGGAGGGCAGTCAGCATGGGGAAAGCCGTTTCAGGACGAGTTTGACTCGCGGCTGGGCCACAGCGAGCGGGGCGAGCTGTCCATGGCCAACAGCGGCCCTCACTCCAACCACTTGCTCCCTTGCCCTGCCTTTCCTTTCCTCTTAATGCCCTCCACTCCTCCGCCCCCTCTCCCCACTCCACCCCCCCTCAAACCCCCTCTTCTCCCCAGAAATTTCATGATCCAAGGAGGAGACCCCACCGGCACGGGCAAGGGAGGGCAGTCAGCATGGGGCAAGGCGTTTCAGGACGAGTTTGACTCGCGGCTGGGCCACAGCGAGAGGGGCGTGCTATCCATGGCCAACAGCGGCCCTCACTCCAACGGATCGCAGTTCTTTGTGCTCTTCAAGTCGGCGCCTCATCTGAACTACAAGCACTCCGTGTTTGGCCGCGTGGTGGGAGGAATGGAGACCCTGACTGCCATAGAGAGGAGTGCCGTGGATGAAAAAGACAGGCCCCTGGTAACCTCGCCCCACCGCATTAAACAGCACTCCACTGCGCTTCACAGCGCTTCACCGCACTTCACGGCACTCCACCTCACAGCACCTCATCTCAACGACAATCACTCGGTGTCGGGCAAGCGCAGAGTCCTCTCCTCTCCATGGCCATCAGCGGCCCTCGCTCCGTCGGCTTGCAGTTCTTTGTTTTCTTCAAGTATTACAACCCGGCCCTCACTCCATCAGCAGCCCTCACTCCATCAGCGGCCCTCACTCTATCAGCGGCCCTCACTCATTCGGCTTGCCGAACCCGAATGCTTCTGTGATTCTGTGTCCTCTTGTCTTTCCCTGTCTCCAGAAACTTATTACAAGAGAGATCACCGCTGTGCTTGTGAACCCGCACACAGAGGTGGATGCAGAGTCAGAGGCGGAGAAGGCAGAAGGCAGCAGGCAAGGGAGGAGAGAGGGTGTGTGGCTAAACCCAATGCTTGCTTTTTGTTCCTTGTTTGCCCATGTGTCTTTGCAGAAACCCATCACCATCGAGAGCATCACCGTGTTTGTGAACCCGTACACGGAGGTGGATGCAGAGGCAGAGGCGGAGGAGGCAGCAGGGAGTGGGGAGACAGGGCTCGACACTTATTCTTGCTTGCCGTTCTGTCCCTCCCTGTGTCTCCTCTTGTGTATCTGCAGAAACCCATCACGATTGAGAGCATCACGGTGTTTGTGAACCCGTACACGGAGGTGGATGCAGAGGCAGAGGCGGAGGAGGAAGGGGGTTAAAGGATATAAGCCTAACCTCAATGCTTGCATGTTCTTCTGTCCCCTTGACTCTCCTTATGCCTCTCCAGAAACCCATCACGATCGAGAGCATCACAGTGTTTGTGAATCCGTACACGGAGGTGGATGCAGAAGCAGAGGCAGAGGAGGCAGCAGCGAGGGAGAAGGAGGAGAAAGAGAGGAAGGGCAAGGAGCTCACGTGGGAGGAGCAACAGGAAATGGTATGTTGGCGTGTCTATGCTTGCTGTGTTTGAATGTGCTTGCTGCTATTCCGCTATGAGATGAAGGCGGAGGAGAGGAAGGCAAGGAGCTGACGTGGGAGGAGCAACAGGAGATGGTATGCTGGCATGCGTATGCTTTATGCTTGCTGTGTCTGTGTGTTTCTGTGTGCCTGCTGCTATTCCGCCATGAGTTTGGATCCAAAGGAGAAGGAGAGGAAGTGCAAGGATTTGACGTGGGAGGAGCAACAGGAGATGGTATGTTGGCGTGCGTGGTTCACTGTGAGCAAGTTCGGGTGTGCGTGCTGGTGTGTATGTTTTGTGGGTTGCGTGTAAGTGCGAGTGTGAGTGACTGTTGGAGTGTGTGTCAAGTGCATGTGGCTCTGTGCATGTGTGTTTCATGTATGTGTGTGGGTGTATAGGGAACAGTGGAGCAAGGTAATGGGGAACGGTTCATGCAAGCATGTTCATGAGAGCATGTTCATTATTTTTTCCGCCTTTAATCCCCACTCAGCAAGTGCAGTCCCCCTTCCTGTCTCTTCTTCCCGTAATTTCTCTCCCCGCACGATCCCGTCTTTCTCTATGTATTCCCACTCACTAACACCTGCTCCATGTTGTCAGGATGCGGTGGGGAGTTGGTACAGCAATCCTTTAGCAGGCAAAGAAGCGCCGAAAGTCTTCAAGTCGCAAGGAATCGGCAAGTATTTGAATCCAGCAGTGGGAAAGCCTTCTGAAGCCAGTGGGTCTGGTTCGAAGGCTATGGGTCCACCCCCAGTTCCTGTGAAGAAGGCTCAACCAAGTTCTTACGGAAACTTCGACGCCTGGTGAATATGCTGAAGCACCGTTTTTGCTGAGTGTGTCTGTTCTGTACAGATTGTGTCCTGTAAATGAGCTGATGGTACATGGATGGATCATAGTACTAGCCATATATTTTGCTGGAATGTGTGAGAAATGAAATTTGATTCTTGTATCACTTTGAGAAATTGTCACCGAATTCAAGGAAGCTCTGTTGTCAGAGGTTTGGTGTTCTCGCGAATGCGTGTTATCAGGAACATCGGTTGTTGGTTTAGTTGTAGCTTCCTTCGGTAAATCAGAGTTTCTTTTATACGAATTCTCTTGCTCATGAAAATGACCACTACAGCGCTCGCCGCCATGGATTTCTTCAGGGTATTCAACCCGGCATTTCGTGAAGCAGAGTTATCAGTTGGCTTTAAGAACCACGGCATTGTACTCGCCTTATCACGACGAAGCGTTTGGTACACTTATCGTGTCCATCAGTCGGACATTGTATCAAAAGCTACTCGGGATCTGCTGTTCAGGTTCTTCAGTCAATACAATCTCAAGGCTTTGCCATCTGTTATTCTAACAGCATTCCAGTGTGTTATCCAAGCGCTATCAAGGCGACAACATGATTGGCTCTCTTTATTTCAAGGCATTCTCAAGGCTACGAATATCCACCCAGTGGTTATGTCAGCAACATCTCATCATCTGCACCAGGAATACTGGTCAGACGGAGGATCACTACGGCTATATTATATTGGGCTCAGAGTTTCAGCAAGTCAACCTTGTCAGGCATTTGCAAGCCTCCTGATACTCAAGCTAACTCATCATTGCGCCATGCCGCGTGCGCCTCCGAAGGAACGACAACCCCTGGTGCCGAAGCGTTCTGCTGCATCCTCTTCTGCTACCATGTCTGAAGACAAGGGAAAGACTGTGGTGGATCAGGAACCAGTCACTCCGGTTTATCCCTGGAGGAAAAGTTGACGGCGCTTACCTTGGCGCATGACAAAGCTGACGACGGAGAGTTCACGGATGATGACTCCGACGATGAACTGGAGTTTGAGATCTCCAAGGATTTTGCTGCGAAAATCCGTCACACGGCGATTCTGCTTCTCCCGCTGGTCCTTCAACCGGAAATGGCATCGGTTATTTTAACCGTGAAGCTGCTGTTGAAACGTGTCTGGTCCTCCTTATTCGCTGACGGTGCTAACACATTGATTGAGTTTCAGGATATCAATCCTGCATACGTAGCAAAGACAAAGTACAGCCGCCTTCAGTTATCATTTCTGAAAGAAGAGGATGCGATCAAAGTGCGTCAGGCAGCGCTGGAGTATCAGAAGCCGAATGGAGCATCATTTACTCTACACTGGCTGCATGCTGAGAATGCAGCTTTTGCGAAGGAGAAAGCTACTAATCAACGGGCTATTGAAGTGGTTTTTAAGGACATACCTGCCAGTATTACGCCGGAGGCTGTTGAGGAATTGCTGGTGAAGTACAAGCTGAAAATTCGCCAAGTCACGCCTTTCCTGGAGGGTCATTGCTTTCACCGCGTGGTGCATCCGGTTTCTGGAGCCAACACAGGGACTATTAAGGGATTGGTGGTTCCACACCCGGAAGTCAAAAAGCGGCGTTTTATTCACCAAGTCAACCACCCGCAGGAGCATGATAAGAAGCTCCTGGTCCACTACCCTATGCTCTCCTGCCGGCTCTGTGGGGGTCCGCATTATGAGAAATACCATGATGCCTTCACCACTGACCGGCAGCATAACATAGGGAAGTGGAACTTGAGCCTAGGTCATGTGCATGGGATCAATGGTAACAGTACACTTACACGCTTAAGCAGTTCAGATTGTCTTACCTGTCATCCAACTCCTAACCGTTTAGCCGCTTGTCGCAGCTGCTTCCCTGACTGCTTCGCGCCTGGTGCGTCCGATTCTGCTCGACCCGGCTATTGTCCTGATCTCCACCGGAAGCTCCAGGGAAGAGTGGATCTGTACTCAGATTTGTTGCGGGAAAGCGCATGGGATGCTGCTTGTCGCTGCTGCAGAGCACATAACTGCTGCGCGTCATCTGCACGGACAAGGGGAGCTGGGTGCGGTCACTCGTCTGACAAGGGAAAAGGAGAACCTGCATACAGTCCGCAAGGAGTATGGGATTTAACAGACCCAGATCGGCTTGCCATGGTGATATCAGTTGGAGCGGTAGTTCTTGGTGTACTCTGTCTTACCTGCCTGTGGATGCGTAGAGGCGATCAAGGAGTTATTAAATGAATACACGGAATACGCTGTCGTTTGCGGGCCTGAATGTTAACGGCCTGGGGGACTTCACGAAGCGGAAACGTACAACGGCATGGATTAACAGCAACAAAGGAGCAGATGTAATGGTTCTATCAGATACGCGAATAACAGACGATAACACCTACTGGTCTTCCCTCAATCTCACCTCTTTTGCTGCCACCTCCTCTGTGACTCGAGCCGGAGGTGTTGCAGTTCTTAGCCGGCGAACGGACCTTTCCTTTCACAACCCTTTAGCTCACCCCTCAGGAAGACTTGTTAAGACTGAAGTTCACTGTTCAAACCTTCGACTTACCCTGATAGCAACTTACTTACCTGCAGACAAAGCTGAGAAGCGAGCCTTCGTCAGGATAGTGCTTGGTCTGATTCTAGGCCAGATTCAGCCAGGCACCCACCTGCTCATCCTAGGTGACCTTAATACCATTGAGAATCCACTGCTTGATAAAACCTCCAGACACGGATCAACTAAAGAGAATGACTTCCTCTACCACCACTGTAAAGCCTTTGACGTCTCAGATGCTTTTCGATTCCTTCACCCAAGTGAACGAGAGTTCACCTTTTACTCACAATCACATCAGGAGAGTTCACGGATAGATCGAGCTTTAGCCTCTCAATCCTTGCTCCCGCGCCTGGTGTCAGCTACGCACGTCTCGCCGGATGAGCCGGTCTCTGATCATGGTTTTGCTGTCCGGGTAATCTTCAAGCTCAAATCGCAACTGAAACTGGGGCCGGGAATTTGGCGATTTCATCCCTCCCTGCTTGGGAGGCCAGGGGCTAAGAAGAAGATAGAGGAGGTGGAGCGGCTGGTCGCGCAAAATGGAGGAGGTTTTACAGCACTCATTTCGCGCCTGCATGCCAGCCTGCGAGCGTATGCAAGAGAAGAGAGCAAAAGGATCAGGGCAACTATCGTTCATCTCACCACATCGGTGGCTGCATTGAGACAGGAGTTCATGCAGCACCCGAAAGATCTGCTGCTGAAGGAACGGCTGAGTAAAAAGGAACATCAGCTCAAGGAGTATTTTGCGTGTCGAAGGGACAGAATGCACACCATGGCTGGAGTGGAAATGGCGTTGACGGGAGAAGTCCCCTCACCGCATCTGTCGGCAAGGATAAAGACGCGGAAAGTCAGGACTCAAATCGCGGAGATTGCGGTACCAGGAGGGGTGGTGTCGGAGCCGAAACGGATCTTGGAGGCAGCGGCAGATTACTTCCGTAACCTCTTCGGAGAAGATAAGCGCACGATGACTTCGGATTGGCGTCCGGAAGCCGGGAAGAGGCTGCTGTATTCAGATGCGGAAAGTCTGCAAGAGGAATGGACAGAGAAGGAGGTCAGACAGGCGTTGCGGGAAATGGCGTGCAACAAATCACCAGGGAAAGATGGCCTGCCGAAGGAGCTATTTGATGCACACTGGGACACACTCGGAAAGCATGTTATGGGGTTGGTCAGCGACTTCACCCTCACGTCCTCGCTCTCCACCAACGTGAAAGATGCGGTGACAATCCTCCTGCATAAAAAAGGGGCGAAAGAGCAGTTGGATAACTACCGTCCTATCACGCTTTTAAACATCAGCTACAAACTACTGGCGCGGGTCTTGGCGAGCAGAATCAAGAAAGTGCTGCACAAGGTGATCTCACCAGAACAATTTGGCTTTATCCCCGGAAGGCGGATGTCTGATGCGGTGGGGCTGGTTGCTGACATAATCGACGCAGCCAAAAATGGGTCGGAGGACTGGTTTATGCTGCTTGTAGACTTCAAAAAGGCGTTTGACTCGGTTTCTCGAGACTTTATCTTCGAAGTGATGGAGAAAATGGGCTTTCCGGCTCGTTTCGTTGGCTGGGTGAAAGGTCTGCACACGAACACGAGGACGAGTTTGCTAATCAATGGCTGGATGGGCGAAGCGGTGAATGTGGTCTCGGGGGTGAGGCAGGGTTGCCCCTTAGCACCCTACCTCTTCCTCTGTGCGGTGGAGCCGCTGGCGCAGAAGGTGATGAAGCGGAAGATAGGGATTTCCCTCACCAGCTGTGTTGGCCAAAGGTTGGCTTACATAGGTTATGCCGATGACACGACCCTCCTGCTGCAGGGGAAGCAGCAAATCGGAAGAGCAGAGGAGGTGTTGGAGGAGTTCAAATGCATTTCCGGTTTGGAGACCAACAAGGGGAAGTCGGTGGTGATGCCACTGGGAGTTAACCTGGGGAAAAAGACATGGCGCACAGACGGGTTTCGATGGGCTGAGGAAAATGAAGCAGAAAGACTGTTGGGAGTGTGGGTCACGCCGAATGGAAGCTGCCAGCCGACGTGGGATAAGGCGCTTCAAAAAATCGCCGGAAAGATGTCGCTATGGCAACCGCAATTTCTCCCGATTAAGGCCCGGACAGCGGTGATGGACGGATATATTCTGCCGATTGCGTGGTCCCAAGCTCAGGTGTACCCGCCGCCTGCGCAAACCTGGAATGTCATCACAAGGATGACACAAAACTTCATGTCAGCTAACAAGGTCACATCGGACAAGTGCTTCAACCTCTGGAGCAAAGAGGTTCTGTTTACACCGGTACTGGAAGGAGGAGTGGGGGCGAAAAATCCTGAGGCGATGCTTACTTGCTTAACAGCTAGAAGAATCGGGCTGGTACTCACGGAGACGAACCAGCTAAAGCGGGAGCTGATGCGCCGAGCAGCTGACCTGCCAAGGGGGGTGGAGACGTTTATTGCGCACGAGAAGCTGTTGAAAACCTGGGAGGGGAAAAGTCAGAGGTGGAAATTGGCTTGTGCAAACTTCATGCGATCTCCGTTAGCGGTATCCACGGAGGAACGAGAGACCAAGGAGCTGCTGCTGGAGAGAATCGCATTTAACAGGCATATTCTCTTGAAAGGTACCACGCCAGTGGGAGGGCAGAAAGCGGCGAAGCGGCTTTTGAGAAGAAACAAGGAATGAATGAACTATGAATGAATTGGGTACAAGTGATAACCCTAATTGGGTTGTACCCCTTATGGGCTACCCCACTATAGCCTACACAATATGCATGAGCTATAATGTTCTGACACACCCCCATAGGCAAAGTGGGGGAGAACAAGGGGTCACAAGACCAGTCAAGTAAAGCAAAGCAAAGCAAGCTCAGGGTGGATCACAAAGTCACCACACATTCCGAGCACAAGTTCAAGGCCACAAGGCCAGTTCACATGCAGGAGTACATATATATAAAAAGGCTAGACAAGCAAGAGCAGGTATATATATATGTAACAGTACAAGCACGGTCAAGAGGTGAGCAAGTGAGGCAAGGTAGGCACAAGGCCCAGCTGAGTACAGAAGCGCTGATGGTCACAAGGCGCAAGCGCCTTGGTGAAGATATCAGCAGTGTTGGCCTCAGAGGCCACGTACGCAAGACGCAGCTGACCACGCTGCTGCAGCTCACGAGCAAGAAAGTAGCGGAGAGCAATGTGCTTCGTTCTGTGCTCCAGTCGCTGCTCCCGACACAAGGCCAGCATGGCCTTGTTGTCTACGCACAGCACTGGAGGAGAACGAGGCGGCTCTCCGAGGTCAGTCAGCAGGTAGGTGAGCCAGCGAAGCTCCTGTGCAGCCATGGCTCCTGCGTAGATCTCAGCCTCACAACTGGAGCCGAGAACAGAAGACGAGCGAGTAGCCCGCCACGAAACAGAGCCGGAACCAAGGCTGAAGGTGTAACCCTGTGACGACCGCTGCGTAGCCTGGTCGTCAGCCCAAGAAGCGTCTGCGTGCCCAGTAAGGACCACTGGACTCTGCCCTCCAAGCACAAGCCCCATGCCCGACGTACTGCACAAGTAGCGCAACACCCTCTTCGCTGCAGCCATGTGCTCCGGTCTGTGTCTCCCAGGAGCAACATAGCGTGCGAGAATGCTAAGAGGGTATGCAAGGTCAGGTCGTGTGCAGGTCATCAGGTACATGAGGCAGCCAACAAGCTCTGGGTACGGGCCACTCGACTCTACGGACTCATCCGAAGGCAGAGCTGAGAGCGAGTGGCGAGTAGGCAGAGGAGTGGCCTGAGGCGAGGAGTACGTGAAGCCGAAGCGCTGAAGGACCTGCTGCACCATGTGTGACTGAGTCAGGGTAATGGTGCGGCGTGCTCTGTCCCGAGTGATCTGCAAGCCAAGGTAGCTGCGCAGTTCACCCAGGTCAGTGCACGTGTGTCTCTTCTGCAGCTCGGACTTCACGTGGGCGAGTCCAGCAGTGTCAGCTGTGGCAAAGACCAAGTCGTCGACGTACACGAGGATGTAGAACGGCGGCAAAGAAGTGTCGGTGCGCAGAAACAGCGACGGGTCGGCAGTAGAGGGAGCAAACCCAAGAGCCGCAAGTGTAGTCCTCAGTGTGTCGTGCCACTCACGCGGTGCCTGGCGGAGACCGTAGACTGGCCGCCGTAGGCTCCACTGGGTGCCAGGAGGAAAAGACCCAGTGAAACCAGGTGGGCGACGCAGCCAGATCTCCTCGTGCAGGCTGCCCTGCAAGAAAGCAGTGCTGAAGTCAAGAGAGTGTAGCTCGTAGTCACGGTGAGCAGCTACGTGCAGCAGTACCCGAAGAGTGGTCATCTTCGGGGTGGGAGAGAAGGTCTGAAAGTAGTCAACTCCCTGCCGCTGACTGAAGCCTCGAGCCACGTAACGCGCCTTGAAGACAGGCGGAGAACCCGGCGGCCGCTTCACCCTGAAAATCCACATGCCACTGACGATGTTCGCCCCAGGAGGGGGAACAGCGTCAACGTAGGTGCCTGTGGACTTCCAGGAAGCCATCTCTGCGTCCATAGCTGCCTGCCACTGAGAGGAGTAGGGACCCTCTATCGCCTCCGCGTAAGAGCGCGGAGTCGGGATGTCAAGTGCATCCGGGTCTCCCTCAGGGGTAAGCAGTACGGACACGAGATGAGGTGAAGCAGCGGCCAAGCACTGGAACTCCTCCTGCCTGTCCTCAAGGACGTCCGTGCCAAGGGCACACTCACCCCCGACGGACGGAGGACAGACAGACTCAGACTCAGCAACAAGACTGGCGACATAGTCTAGGCGACAACGAGCAGCAAAGTCGACGAGCTCAGCAACTAGGGCAGACGCAGCAGTGGACTCTAAGGAAGGGTCAGTGACAACAGTAGCAAGGAGACGCGTGACAGTAGGACTGGCAGCACGAAGAGAGTCCGACTCCGGGTCGGCAAGAGCAGGAAGAGAAGACTCAGGAGGAGAAGGCAAAGGGGCACGCAGAGGAGCAGTGGACGGACGCAGAGACATCCGGTGCGTGCCAGGGACAGGAGGAGGACGCTGACGCGAACCACGACCACTAGTGCGAGCAGCACGGACAGGCGACGCAGGGCGAGACGCAGGCTCACGACGCTCAGCAAGACCTCCAGTAGGACCAGTGTAGGGAGACGGAGCAGGCAGTGGGGAGGCCGGCTGTAACTGTAACTGCGACGGAACAGGCTGTGGACACTCTAAGGGAGGAGGAGGACCAGTAGAAGACGGGAGACCAAGAACCTGATGAAGGAGCGGAACGAAGTACGGCCGAGGCCGCGCGGCGACTCCAGACACAGTAGGGACAGCACCAGCACCCCCTGTGGCAGCACCAGCACCAGTAGCAGCTCCAGCTCCAGTACCCCCAGCAGCACCAGCAGTACCCCCAGCAGGACCGCCGCCAGGACCGACAGCAGTAGCCTCCGCGCCAACACCCGCAGCAGCTCCAGCTCCAGAAGTACCCGCAGGTCCAGCAGCTCCAGGACGCCCAGTACGAGCACCTCCGGGACCCGTGGCACCAGCTCCCTCAGCAGCAACAGAAACTCCAGTACTCGCAGCTCCTCCAGCTCCAGCAGCTCGCCTCCAGCGCCGGGCAAACCACTCACGCAGCTCCTGTGGAGAGAGTGGCTCCCGGCGAGAAGAAGCACCCGGAGAACCGCCAGGCACAGCACCAGCAGGCCCAGCTCCCTCAGGCTCCGCACCCCCAGGCTCAGCACCTCCAGGCGTAGCACCCCCAGGCTCAGTACCCCCAGACGCAGCACCCCCAGGCGTAGCACCCCTAGACGTAGCACCCCCAGGCTCAGCACCCCCAGTCGTAGTACCCTCAGGCTCAGCACCCCCAGGCGTAGCACCCACACGCTCAGCACCCCCAGAGTCAGCACTCCCAGGCTCAGCACCCTCAGCAGCACCAGAGTCACCAGCGACCTCGACAGGCTCAACAGCGTCTACCTGGGACACACCTGAAGGGGCAGGACCCTGAGGGGGGAGGGGGTCTACCGGGGGGGGACCTGGTACCAGGAAGAGCGGTGGCGGGGGGAGGGACGGAGTGCGGTAGGGGAAGAGGCGGTAGTAGGGGACCGACTCGTCGAACGTGACGTCCTGGGAGGACAGAACACGGCGAGAGGTGGGGTGGTAGAACTGCCACCCTGGGGCGTCAGGGGGGAAACCCAGGAAGACGCAAGGAGCAGCACGAGGGGACAGCTTGTCCGCAGACAAGTCGCGGACAAACGCCCGAGATCCCCAGACACGGAACGCAGACGCATCGCCAACCTTCCCCGTCCACAGCAAGGCTGGGGAGGTTTCCGGCATGGAGACCCTGGGCTGAAGGTTGATCTGATGCGCCGCGTACCGAACCGCAAACGGCCACAGAAAATGGGGGGCAGCCGCATGCATCATGGACGTACGGGCGACGTCCATGACCATGCCAATGCGGCGCTCAGCAATCCCATTTTGCTGTGGAGAGTCCGGAAGCGTGAAGGTCTGGCGGATGCCTCGTGCACGACAGTAGGCTCGCAGAAGGCCAGAGGAGAACTCTCCGCCTCTGTCAGAGTGCAGACGCAGAACAGGAAAGTCCGAGCCGAAGCTCCGCCTGAGCTGGAGACGAGCTGCGCGGATCCAGTCGATCAACACCTCAGTGACATCACCCTTGCTGCGCAAGGGGAAGACTGTGGTGTAACGCGAGTAGTCGTCAACCACCAGCAGGAAGTAGCGCTCGAGACCCTGTCCACGGACGCGGGCCGGGCCCCACACGTCCATGTGAAGCGTCTGCAGCGGGGCCTCTGTCGGAGGAAACTGGGAGGAGTGAGGGGTAGCCCGCTGTCGTCCCTCGACACAGGGGACGCAGGTAGGGCCAGGCCCCGGAGGAAGTGGAGGGAGGGACCGGGGAAGACCAGAGACAAGGACACGGGAGGCCATGCTCCGGAGACGAAGCAGGGAGGGGTGACCAAGGCGGTGGTGCCAGAGGAGAGTCTCGTGAGACAGGAGGCGACACGAGCAGGGGGCAGACTCAGGACCAGACCTGGACGCTGCAGCAAACACCTGACCCGACGCAGCTACCTGACCAGACGCAGGGACCGGAGGAGACGCAGTGGTCAGTGTATACAGGCTCGACCCCGGCCGACGTGTAAACGTGGCCAGGTGTCGGCCTGTCCGAGCGTCCGTGCAGTGGGTCACCCGCTGACTCGCAGGAGTGAACTGGTGAACCCCCGCATCCTGTAGGTCAGCACCACTCACCAAGTTCGTAGAGAACGAGGGGAGGTAAAGACCAGACAGGGTGCCAGAGGGGGCCGCCGGACACGGGAGGACAGTGGAGAAGTGAGCAAGGACAGGACCCCCAGAGGGGTCTGCCAGAGAGACCGCAACTGGCCGGCCAAGCGGCGTGAGTGTGGTGCGGTCTCGAAAGAAGGAGCGAGAAGCCCCCGAGTCAAGGGTAAAGGTGTGGGAGGCCGAAGCCGACGCAGAACCTGAGAGAGCAGACTCACCAGTACCTGAGGGAGCAGACGCACCTAGAGCAGCAGCCTCGCTAGCACCTAGAGCAGCAGCCTCACCAGGACCTAGAGCAGCAGTCTCAATGCCCGGGTCGGGCGGAAAACACCGGTAACAGTCACCCTCATCACTAATAGTCACAGTATACATGGCAGCAAGAATAGCATCAAAGTCAAGGTCAAAGACAGCTACACCCGCCCTAGACAGCTCACCCCAGCGGGGGATCTCAGTGGCCTCAGGGAACTGGTGACGCCAAGCGTCCGTCAGGCGGCCAAAGCAGCGCTGGGTGGAGTGCGCACCCCCGCACTGCTCACCCGCGCGGTCGCCGGTGCGCAGGACGTAGGTGCACGGACAAGTACCCCCACCCCTCTGGCGTGCAGTGTACCACTCACGGAGCTGCTGAGGGGAGGGGACGTCACGAGTGCGCTGCTGCTGCTGCTGCTGCTGCTGCTGCTGGCGCTGACCACCACCGGAGCTGACCCTCTGCGCAGCGCCACCCCGACCAGCTCCACCTCCTCCGCCCGACAGCGTCGCCTCCTCCTCCACCGCCGCCACCTCCGCTCCCTCCGCCACCGCCGCTGCCGCCTGCGCCTCCACTGCCGCCACCTACACCTCCACCCCCGCCACCACCCCCACCGCCACCCCCACCTCCTCCACCGCCTCCACCGCCGCCTCCACCGCCCCCGCTAGCTCCTCCAGCGCCCCTGCCCCCCTTGCCCCTGCCAGGGCGGCGTCTCCCGCTAGGGGTAGACGCTGCCCCAACCGACTCCAAACCAGCGAGGTCGGCCGCAGCAGCAGAGGCAACAGAGGGCAAAAGAGGGGAGGGGGAACACCCCTCAAAGATGGGGGTGCGAGGGTCACCACGAGAGGCTCCTACAGCGACTATGCTCTTTTCTGCTGCTAGGAGGGCCTTCTCGAGGAGGTCAACGGTGAGAGTGGTGGGACAAACCGAGAGGAAGTGGTCCCTGACTACGCGAAGGGAGTCAGGGAGACGGGTGACTATGTAGTAGAGGGTGATGTACATGGGGGGGGGGTTCTTGGCGCAGAACTCAGCAGGAAGCGCAGCGCGGTAGTGAGTGTCACTAGTGCGGAGGTGCGTAATGAGGTCAGCGACTGTGGGAAAGGCATCAAGGTCAGGGAAGAGGTACGGTAGCATGAGGCGGCTCAGTGCAGCAGTGGCAGGGAAGGAGTAGCGTGCAACTACAGCGTCGTACAAGGTCTGAGCACTCTTGTACTGGCTAAAGTGCGCACGCTCACAGGTAGGTAGGTGGCGACGCACAGCAAGACGTGCAGCAGCATCGCGCGTGGCCCACTGTGAGCGAACAGTGGCGTCAGCATCAGCAGCGGGGGCAGGAGAGGCACCAGAAGTGAGGTCAAAGAGGGAGAGGCCGTCTGCTCTGTCGCACTGTAAGAAAAGCTGCAGGTCATCTATCCAGACGTCAAAGTCAATGGCCCGACCCTCAGCGTCAAAAGCGAGGACACTAGGGGTAGCCATGACAGCAGTAGACTAGCAGTGCAAACAGTAGGGTGAGGGCAGTGCTGTGAGAGAGGCGCTGCTCTTACCGGACAGGGCGGCTCGGGCGGCTGGGCTGCAGGGCGGCTCGGCGACTCGACGGCTGGGCGGCTCGGCTGCTGGGCGGCTCGGCGGCTCGGCTGCTGGGCGGCTCGGCTGCTGGGCGGCTCGGCGGCTGGGCGGCTCGGCTGCTGGGCGGCTCGGCTGCTGGGCGTATCGGCGGCTGGGCGGCTCGGCTGCTGGGCGGCTCGGCTGCTGGGCGGCTCGGCGGCTGGGCGGCTCGGTTGCTGGGCGGCTCGGCGGCTCAGCGGCTGGGCTGCTCGGTTGCTGGGCGGCTCGGCGGGTGGGCTGCTCGTAGGAGTAGGCGCGGGGGCCGTAGGAGCAGGCGCCGGGGCCGTAGGAGCAGGGGTCGGGGCCGCTAGGGCGGCGGATCGGGGCCGCGAGGGCGGCGGATCGGGGCCGCGAGGGCGGCGGAGTAGGGGCCGCGAGGGCGACGGAGTAGGGGCCGCGAGGGCGGCGGATCGGGGCCGCGAGGGCGGCGGATCGGGGCCGCGAGGGCGGCGGAGTAGGGGCCGCGAGGGCGGCTGATCGGGGCCGCGAAGGGCGGCGTATCGGGGCCGCGAGGGCGGCGGAGCGGGGCCGCGAGGGCGGCGGATCGGGGCCGCGAGGGCGGCGGATCGGGGCCGCGAGGGCGGCGGAGTAGGGGCCGCGAAGGGCGGCGGATAGAGCCGCGAGGGCGGCTCGAAGGGGCCGCGAGGGCGGCGCGAAGGGGCCGCT